ACTAATTAATTAGTAATATAATAAGTAATTTCATAATTAGCACCTAATTAGCAATAATTAGGTTAGTTTCCAATTATATTATTTATCATTATAACTTACTAAAGGTAATTAAAATTAAAGTTAATAAGTAAATCATAATTATCACTCAAATTAAATTTAAAGCACATTAAATTTAATTTCTAAATGAACCAATTGCCCTAAATCCTTGATTACTTTGCCAAACAATTCTCAGGATTTAACATTTGTCATTCCAAATAATTTTCAAGATTTAATACCCTCATGATTTACTAAATTCATATTTATATGATTTACTAATCCCACTAAAGTTAAATCCTACTTGTTGCCAAACAACCCTTGAGAGTGAGAGAGCAAATATGAGTTAGGGAGAGCTATTGGCCATGGGTGGCCGACGGCTTGGTTCACCAGTGATTGTGAGCTTGTCGACGACTGGAGGTTCAATTGATAGGGTGCAAGCCGACAACTTAGCGGCTAGGGGAGTTCAGCGGCTTGTAGGGGTCACAAGAGCAGGGAGGTGCATTCGAGTTCGGGCACTAACTCGATTTTGCAGGATCACATGAAGAGGAGCGGGGGAAGGGATGGGTTGCTTGCGTGAGTGCTAGTGTAACACCCCACAAGACCCCTTAACAGTATTGCAGGGTGTCACACATATAAACATAATATTTTTTTATCATTAAACATATGAGATTTTGCATCATCTGAATATTGATATAAAATCTCAAACAGCATTTCATTTATTGCATAAACGGAAACATCTAATAATTCAAAAATATCAAACTAGTATTTACAGAGCCACGAATAAAATCCCCAAAATATTACACTAATGAACTGTCTACATACCTCAGTTGTAGACTTACAAACAAAGTTAAACACTAGCATATAAAATGAAATACTTAATTGCAACTTATTCCGCATCGACTTTTTCTTTTCTTTTTCCTGTAATAACAGCATTATGAAAGGAATTGGTAAGCTATGATACCTATGACACAATTAGATTCAACATCTTTAAAGACTTTCACTACTATTTAGAAATCCATAAGATAACTATGCATATACCAAAACTGCTTTCCTTAAATTCCTCTTCCTTAAATTTTCTTCTTCCTTTTAAAGTCATTGTTCCTTCACTGCGCTTGTATTCTCATATCAATTGAATTCTCTCACAATCACTCTTCCCAAACTCTAACAACAGCTTCTATTTCCATAGCATTCCGAAATTTGTCTTTGTACAGAGCCGAATTTCCTTTCTTCCACAATTACTATATCGCTAGTCTTCTCCAATGCACTGCACTGTGTCGGTAATGCAGTAGTTTCCCACACTCAAATTTATACTTTTCCATTCAGTTTGTATACAAGAAACCAAATGGGAAGTGGGGCCCAACGCAACTGCCATCACACTTCACCCAATCCCATCTCTTCAATTCCAGTGAACGTGGAAGGAGCCAACAGATGCTGCTTTTGGATATTTGACTGGAAACGAAAATCCTTTACAGTAATTAGCATTAGTTTAAGATATTAATTAGTATTAGACTATTGAATAGTAATTAACTGTTAATATTAATCTAAAATCTAAATATATACATATTTAACACGAGTAGGTCTTGGTTCGATTGCGTCAAGTTTTATTTCTTACTTTTTTTGTTTTTAGAGACTAAGTGGCTGAGGGGAGTTATAACTTAGTGCAGTGAGTGAGGCTGGTTATGTGAGGAGTTATGAGAGAGTGGATTATGTTAGGTTAATGGGCAGTTTAGGTTCATTTCAAATTTAGTTTTTATTATTTGATTAAAATATAAATTTAAAATTTGTATAGTTTCGACATCATCTCACACTCGTAAATTTTTTTATTTTTATCGATTGAAAACACCAGCTAATATGAGTGTCAATCTTAACTATTTTAGTTGACTTGAATGTGTCGACGCCATATGTTTAGCGAACAGATGTCATGGTTGCGATTTTGACTTTTGGTCAATGTGATTTATACAACTTTAACATTATGTCGAGTTGTTTGGTCATCATTTTTCTACCACACTTCATTGATTTGACATTAGTGTTGATATCAAGGTCAATATCATGGTACAACTAAAATAATTAATGCATAACTGGATTGAAACAATGAGAGTACATTGTCAAATTGCTTGTTGAAAATTATAAGTTGTAAGAAAAGCAACATGCTAAACATGAAACTTAATCTTGATGACATGGTTTATATCTGGCTTTAGCCACATTATCAGATGTTAGTTGTGCTAACTTTAAATATTCTCTACGATTCTATGGTGGTGTCTTATCTACAAACCCATCTGCCTTCCAAAATTTACCTCGAAACTTATTTTGTTAAAACTCCCCCTCGCCCAGCATAAAAAGAAAAGCGTGGCGGGGAGGCCGGGGCATAATTTTCGGAGCCCACAAGATGATAAACCTTTTAACCTCGGGCTCTCCTATGATGGCGTTGGGCTTGGTTTAAAGAACAAGTTGAACAAGTTCTCAGAGCAACTAAGTCCTTGATTTAAACCTAATAGCCTTGGTTTGCTTCTTTTCTGTTTATATTTGAACTGGTATTGTGGGAAGGCAGAGGGTGTTTTGGTCTTTCTTTTATTTCTCGTGCTGAAGTAGTCTTTATTTCTTACAGTTAGTTTTTAATGCAAGAGATAAAGTTACTGCAGTGAGGGTTCTGGGCGAGTTTTTAACCTGGGTCCAATTTAGCTGACCCAATTTTGCAAACAGGTCATAAAATCAAACTCAGACTCTTGACCCAACCCACTGGGTTACCTAGTCGACTTGACCCAACATGTAACCAGCGCGTGCGAGAGCGTATCACCCAAGCAACTAGCGCGGGTCGCATGCGAGACTGCACGACCGTGACTGGGTGTGGGTGTGCGAGTCCGGTGTGAGCTTTACGAGTACGGGTGCATGAGTCTGGGCGAGCTCTATGGGTACGAGTGCGGAACTGCCGACTGTGAGTGGGCGAGGTCGGCCCGTGAGAGGGCAAGAAAGGGGTCGTGACGCACTAACGCCGGTGCGGATGCGAGCATTTGGCATGCATAAGTCTAAGGCAATGCACCGTGCAAGGGCGACATATGAGTTTGGGATGGGGATGGGTGAAAATTCGGGTTAGCGGATTGACCTGAACCCAACCCCAATTTTCAAATGGGTCATATATTAGAACTAAAATTCGATCCGTTTGTTAAACGAGTTGAACCGAACTTGAATTTTTGGGGTCGGGTCAATAATTAATACCCCTACTGTTGCTTATAAGCTGGTGCTACCTTTATGCTTTAAAGTAATTATGTTTTTTATGCATCTTGCTTATACAAGTCTTTAATATTAATGTTATTCTCACTCATTTGCATGAGATTGAGGAAGAAATGTTAAAGATTCAATAATTTGCCACTTAAAGATGTAAAATTGGGAAACTTGGCACAAATTTAAAGAGAATTTTCTTGAATTCCATCCTTGAGGACAAGGTTTATTGAAAGTGTGGTCCCTCCTATTAGAGTTCCCTAATTAGATTGTTTCCCTAATAAAGTTTGGATTGATAATCCAAGTGCTCTTCCTAATTTGTCATAACGAGCCAGCTCACGAGTCGGCTCGTTTATAACAAAAGGGACAAAATGATTATGATTCAAGTAGTTATTATAATAAAATTATAAAAAGAAAAAGAAATTAGTAAATAAATAATAAAAATTCCTTGATATAAAAATAAGATATAATTTTTTAATATTTTTAATAGCTTTATACTTGGAACTCTTGAATTCTAATATATTTTAAGTCTATTTTATAATAATATATTTTAAATTAAATGAGCTGGCTTGTGAGCTAACGAATCAAGTCGAGATTTACTCCAATTGGGCTTGTTAACTCATTGAGCTCGACTCATGAGCTATTTATCGAGCCGTGCTCCAGCCAGCTCACGAGATGACTTGACTCATTTACATCGCTAAATTCAACACCCCAATTAGTCTAGGAAGAGCTCCCATAAGTCAGCAACATTATTATAATTAAAGCCGTTGTATGTGGTTTTTTAGTTAGTGGATGAATGACAAACACTTGCGATGCCTTAGAATCCTTGATAAGTGACTAGTACTTGCCCGAGCTCCTCATGTGATTCAAACGGACATCAAAGCCTCCTCTCCTCCATAACTATTTTCATCGCATAAAATTTTTGAAGATACTCTTAACCAACCCAAGTCGACTTGAGTCACACCATAGCACTTGTAAGAAACAGCTTAGCAGGTGGAGGAATAGTTGCTGCATCAATTGCTGCATGAGCATTGTCGGGAGTGTGGTTTAGCGGCTAACCAATTTCTGCAGAGTTGCCAGCATTTTCACTTGCCTTTCATGATCTGAAAATTCTACATTAATTTCTTTTGCGGATTTCCTGGTTTTATTTTTTTCTGTAGATTCTTTTGGAACAATACGCTAGTTAAGTTCGTCAAAACTCGTTTTCCGACTAGGAGGATTTTCTTGAAACTTAAGAAGAATTCCTAAAAATAGAAAGTATCATTCAAAGTTGTTTTGAATGGATTTCTTATATAAACTAAGGGTTCATTTGAGACAGTTTTTTTTACTGCTTCTTAAATCAGCTCTCTAGTACAAAAATTAAAAATTAGTTTTTAAGATCAGTAAGAAAACCGTCCCAAATGAAACCTAAGTCACTTAAATCCCTTGGCTTTCACTTTAAGTGCTTACAAATGAACGTAGGGATTTGACAGAGCATATCTTGACTTGCTCTTACGGCTCATTAGGCTTGTGGACTTGTAGAATATCTTAATAATCTGTTAGCTCTTAAACTCGAAATTTCCAGACACTAGGGAAGTGGATGAGTCCACAACTGTACCGATCAAAATTATGACGTAATTCTTATTTGAAAGTTGAAACTACTAAGTAAAATGGTAAAATAATTTATCATTGCCGTCTGTTTCCTGATTTGGAGATTTTCTTTTAAATCATATCTTCCTGATAGAAAACTTCCTATGCCATGTCTTCAGCTACGTATTTGAACCATCCTCCATTGTTGTTGATGTTGTTGAGATTTTGGAGGAACAGAAAACCTCTCTCTTGCAGATACAGGATAAGTATGGGGTAAAGGTTAGTTGGGAGGAATGCTAAAATGTTTTGTGCTATTGGACTCGAGGATTATCCTCATGATTGAGCTCTTTCTTAATTATTTGTCATCCGTTACAGATTTCTTGTGGATTAGATTGCCAATTTTCTGGGATGGTTGAGGCTTGGGCTTCTGGTCTGACTTGGAGGGAAATAATGATGGACTGTGCAATGGATGAGGGTGATTTGGCTCGGCTCTTCCGTCGTACAATTGATTTATTGGCACAGGTAATATGTTGGGCTGACTCGGGCTTCGTTTGGGATGGCTTTCTTATTGCTTCTTAATGCAGTTTTTTAGTACAAAAATTAAAATTTTTGTATTAGAAAGCTGCTTTAAGAAGAAGTAAGAAAGCCGTCCTAAACGAAGTCTCGGTCTCTAAAGTTTCATATTTTTTTTTTCTTATGGTATCTTTCACCATTGCCCATTTACGTGAATCTTTGGCCGAACAAGATTTTTTTTTTTTTTAACCTAACATTCTTTTGTTAGAAAATAATATTGTTCAGCCAAATTAACTAACATCTGATATCATGGCGTATGAAGAATCATGTTAACTAGGCTTTTATATAAATAATATTGATATCACACTATAGCCTTAAACCAAAGATATAGGCTTCGTTTGTGACAACTTTCTTACTATTTTTTAAATACGTTTTTTTAGTACAAAATTTTTTTGAGTTATAAATTTTTGTACTAGAAAACTGATTTAAAAATTAATAATGAAGCTGCTCCAAACGAAGCTATAGTATTTGATAGATAACACTTACATCTTAATAATATTGACACCTCAATAACATTAAACAAGCCCTATATAAATTGTACTTGATAATTAGTGCAATTCATGATGTTAGATTTTTGGGGAAGTTATGTGTTACATTCAAATCTTGCATATTTATAAAACTAACATCCCATTATCTCCATTTTTATGAATACAGCTAAATCAATAAGAGCACAACAAAACCTCATTTTTTTTGCTTTCATCAAATTATCAATAGTTTGATTCTTATATGAGTAAATGCACGAGTTCAATAGTTTATTTTTTTGGGGGTAGGTGTTAGACTTGCGAACGCCCATGATTTCATGGTATGTGCATAAGGATTTATTTTAATTAATTATTTTCGGAGAGCAATTTTTAATTTGAAGTAGTTTAGCTAATCATGGATTGCATTTAGGGTTTGAGCAATTTTTTTGTGACAATCTCCTAACAGAAATGACAATGATGGACATTTATATAATGAAAACTTTTCTTTTATTGCAATGGTTGCAGTTCGCTCGTCTGATTTAAATCCTAATAATTATCATATTACTGGGGATATTGATGATCTAAATTTCCTCATGTTTGCTAGAATTTAAGTTAAACGAGATAATTCTCTTCATGAGTTTTACATCTGGACTTAGCATGAGCTATTATGAGCTATTTAGATCTTAATGAGGGCTTGCTTTTCATAATTTGGATAAATGTTATTAGCTTACATGTTTTCTTGGCCCAATGTTGTTTGTTACTGTGCTTCTTGTAGAAGTTCTTGGTAAGTTATATCTTACGTAACATTGAAAAAAGGAACAATTCTTATGATTCGCCCACCTGTTGGTTATCTCTATGCCAAATTGGTATTAGAGCAATTCTGATATCAAGAAGGATTGCTACATATCACCCTTCTTTATTTCCATGCTGCATTAATCTATTATTGTTCTCTTTGGATCCTCCATTAGAGACATGACCATCCAACCCGATTTAGAGCATAAGTTCCAGCAGATGGAAATAAGATCTAAGATTGAATTTCTATGGAATCACCTCATTAAGTATTAGTTTGAAAGCTCTCTATTTCAGGGTATAACTTTGACTTAAGTTCAAGAAACTCCATGAAAATAATTTGTGAGATTAAGATTTTGTTTGGGGCGGCTTTCTTACTGTTTCTTAAAGCAGCTTTTTAGTAAAAAAAAAATAATTTTTTTTACTAGAAAGCTGCTTTAAGAAGTATTAAGAAAGCTGTCCCAAACAAAGCCTAAGGCTTGGTTTGAGACTCATTTCTTACTGTTTTGTAAATATATTTTTTAGTACTAAAATTTCTTGGAAGTAGGAAAAAAATAATGATCTAAAATTGTCTTAAACAAAGCTCAAGTTTTCACGCAAAACCTTGCCTGAGAATCTAGGCCTTGTAGAGTTCTATGACTTAAATATTGAGAATATTGACAATGGATGAGCGTTGGCGAAATCTGTTTTATACGAAAAATAAAATTTATTGGGAGTCCACTAAAATAATCTAGCATTTTGTTCAGATTCCAAAACTGCCGGACATTGATCCCGTGGTGCAAAACAATGCTCTCGCAGCCGCTAATGTTATGGACCGTGCGCCGATCAGCGAGTTAGCTGGATGAACTGCTATATGTGGTAAAAACTGTAGCATCATTTATGATTTTTATTTCATTAAGAATTTTACGAAAGCATGGGCTATATTTCTCTTCTTTGTTTCAATTCTCTTCATTTATTTTAGGGAAATTCGAGTACATGTGCCCATTAATGCTTAAAATGGATAAAATATGCTCATTGATTCATTACTTCTAGAAATATGTTCAAATGTTTATTTTGGATCAAAATTATCTCACTAATATACAAAAACTACTCCATCGACAATGAATTTAATTTGAAGTTCAAGATATTTCTGTGAGATTGAACGGAAAAATTGTTCAAACTTGGAATTAAAATGCTAATGTCGTTCGAAATTAAGAAGCTAGATGTGGGATTGTTGTAGGAAGGTGTCGATGAGAGGGCAAATTATTACATCCGGTCACGGGACGTAGAGATAGATCCGGATATTATTAAAATATTATTTTAAATTAAGCGAGTCAAAAGCACAGATAAAACGCAGGCAAAGCGCACCTAAAGATACAAATTTTTTTAGTTATAAATTTTTTACTAGAAAGCTTATTTAAAAAATAATAATGAAGCTATTCCAAACGAAGCTATAGTATTTGATAGATAACACTTACATCTTAATAATATTGACACCTCAATAACATTAAACAAGCCCTATATAAATTGTACTTGATAATTAGTGCAATTCATGATGTTAGATTTTTGGGGAAGTTATGTGTTACATTCAAATCTTGCATATTTATAAAACTAACATCCCATTATCTCCATTTTTATGAATACAGCTAAATCAATAAGAGCACAACAAAACCTCATTTTTTTTTGCTTTCATCAAATTGTCAATAGTTTGATTGTGATGAGTAAATGCACGAGTTCAATAGTTTATTTTTTTGGGGTAGGTGTTAGACTTGCAAACGCCCATGATTTCATGGTATGTGCATAAGGATTTATTTTAATTAATTATTTTCGGAGAGCAATTTTTAATTTGAAGTAGTTTAGCTAATCATGGATTGCATTTAGGGTTTGAGTCATTTAAAAATATGCGCCCAAAGCTGTGACAATCTCCTAACAGTAATGACAATGATGAACATTTATAGAATAAAAACTTTTCTTTTATTGCAATGGATGCAGTTCGCTTGTCAGATTTAAATCTTAATAATTACCATATTAATGGGGATATTGATGGTCTAAATTCCCTCATGTTTGCTAGAATTTAAGTTAAACGAGATAATTCTCTTGATGAGTTTTACATCTGGACTTAGCATGAACTATTATGAGCTATTTAGATCTTAATGAGGGTCTGCTTTTCAACATTTGGATGGATGTTAGCTTACATGTTATTTTACCCAATGTTTTTGTTTCTTTGCTTCTTGTAGAAGTTCTTTGTTAAGTTATATCTTAAGTAACATTTTCATTGACATGTAAGAAATTTTAAAGGAACAATTCTTACCATTCGCCCACCTAGATCCAAGTTCAAGAAACTCCATGAAAATAATTTATGAGGTTAAAGTTTTATTTGAAACAGTTTCCTTATTATATTTTATAAAGCAGCAAAAAAATTATCTCACCTAGCTTGCTAATCTAGTCCTCGTGGAGTTCTATGGCTTAAATATTGAGAATATTGATGACCGTTTGCGAAAAATCTGTTTTATTCTAAAAATAAAATTTATTGGGAGTCTACTAAAATAATCTAGCATTTTGCTTATGGCTAGCAATCTTCCATATAATCATCAATACTTTTTTTTTTTTTTGGTTCAGATTCCAAAACTGCCGGACATTGATCCTGTGGTGCAAAACAATGCTCTTGCAGCCGCTAATGTAATGGACCGTGCGCCGATCAGCGAGTTAGCTGGTTGAAGTGTTAATATGTGGTAAAAACTGTAGCATTATTTATGATTTTATTGCATTAAGAATTTTACGAAAGCATAGGCTATATTTTTCTTCATTTATTTTAGAGAAATTCGAGTGCAAGTGCCCAATATTGCTTAAAATGGAGAAAATATGCTCATTGATTCATTTCAATTATCTCACTATTATACAGAAAAAACTACTCCATGGCCATTGAAATTAATTTGAACTCAATTTGAATCATGTTCAAATAATGCTAAAATTTGATTTGAATGCGGATTGAACTAAAGTCAAATCTGAATATGTTCAAACCATTTGAGATTACTTTGTCGTCAACAAATATAAGAAATTATCTCTTATTAGGGGTGATTTGATCTAAAATAAATCTTCAGGTATGTTTATCTAAAAGAAAAAGAAATGACATACATAAAATATAATTTTTGTTATTATTAGACATCTAAAATGGAATTTCTGTTCTTTTATAATTTTGTATTTATTTATTCTAAAAAGAAGAGAATGTCGCATAAGGGATAACTAATTTTTTAATTATCATAAAATTTCTGTTACATGTAGCAGAAATGTATTATCATCTAATTGGTTTAAGGGATTACTAAATTAATTATTGCTCATTAAATCTTTTTAAATTTTTGTTCTTTGTTCTTCAAAGATTCTTCATTTTTCTATGCTTCACCTAGAACTTTTGCATCCTTTGAATTATTATTATTAACCATTTAAATTGTAGCCAGTGATGATAACATGTGCGATGAGTAATAGCTCTACCCTTCTAAACAAAAAAGAAATCTAACACACTACAAAATGCCCTTAAAAAGAATATTATACTAAAAAAGGAACATCAGACATCCTACAAAAATAAAAAATGTTCGCTATTAATCACATATTTCACCCACTGAAACTATAAAACGTATCTAAAAAGAATGTACATTGCACAGACTAAATTTTGTATTCCTTAAGGGGACATTATGCTATAAAAATCCCTAATCTTTATCACACAATCAAAATCATCAATTTAGGCTTCGTTTGGGACGATTTTTTACTGCTTCATAAAGCAACTTTTTAGTACAAAAATAAAAAAATTTATGCTAAAAAACCGCTTTAAAAAGAAGAAAAAAAACCGTCCCAAACAAAACCTTAGTCAACATTTTAACATCTTGTCGTGTTCAACTCACTACTTAACGAGCCAATTTAGTGCTACATTTGTTTGAACCTTAGCAAAGTTGGACTAACTCATTTTTCAGCTCGATAATTAAAGAATTGAACCGAACAAGACTTTATCTCGCTTGCGCGCATATACACCGTTAATGCTGATAAGAAGGTCGATCTTATCATTCTGATAAGATCTGCTCACTTCTCATATTTGTGCTCGTTTGTGGAATTATCAACCAGACTGTGTGTGCGTGTATCTTATAAGTTATAGCGACCCAGTTTTCTGTATGTAAATTAATATATTTTTTCATAATATTTCGTCATCTTGTTGAGCATATAATTGAGCATCTGAATCTAATGGTAGGGAAGGTGGAGTACCAGGAGGAATGCAGGCAGCTCCGTGCTCGCCAGCGCTGATGCATAAGGCCTCTGCGTCGCTTATTACTGCATCAAGATCGATTTTTCCGCTTAGCCCATTAACGAACTTGAGAATGGAATCAAAGTCCATCTCCTCTCCTATGATTTTCTCCCGGTGGGTTTTTAGTATAGCAACACAGATGTAGAGGTGGAAGTGTTCTGACAGATGATGCGTCCAAAGTACCTCCCATAGTTGCATGATCTCCTTGTAGTTAAATTCCCTGCAGTTTATACATGCAAAGAGAGATGAAAATGGGAGCCAGCAAAATCATATTTCTTGTATGTCTCAGTAATTTGATTATTGACATTTAATACATCATATGTTTTGCTAACTAAACTATGTTTCAATACCAGGCAGTAACAGCAATAGGTTTCGAAGTTTTTTTTGTTCATAAATTATCGTTAAGTGTAAGTTTCATGAGGCACTCTTATGGACTTGAGAACATTTTTATGTGAAAAGAGGGAAAAAAAAAAACACAATTTCTTATGAATAATGAACAAAGTGCATTCAATTACCTCTTGAACTGTATAAGAATCCAACGGAAACAGAAGAAGTAATTCAAACAATCAGCTTTCCCAAAGTAGTCGTGCAGTGGATGATCCAGAAGCTCCACGAGCTGGAAAAATAGGAAGAATTTAGAACAGGTAAAAAAACCAATTAGTACAAAAACAACCAGTTAAATTAATGGAGGGCCCGAATGGACATGTTTCGACCCCTCATCCTTGAGCAAAAACGAAAAGGTTCTTATTTTTCAACAATTACTAAGTACCGTGGAAGTAGAAGATTTATTTCCAGTGATGATTATGCAATTTTTTTTTTGGTCTGAATAATTCAGATAGACCTTGTGACTACATATTATTCAAAGAGTGACCATTATTCCTGGTAGCTGTCAGATCACTCTAACTTTTGAGCTGAAGAGTATATGGACGAACTACGATAACCGTCCAAGTAAAATACATAAAATTTTAAAAATTTGACATAACCACGCCAATATCTAAATGCTCAAAACAAACTCCGCGATTGGCATTTAAGGTGGATTGGTGAGTAGGTAAAATTATTATAATTTGATAACAGTGGCAGAGAAAAGCTCAGAAATTTAGTAATATTCTTAAAATCTCACTCATTCTTAAGCATATTCTCGAATTAATAATATTCGTAATCATAAATATGTACAACGAGGATGCAAACCTTCATCAATGCAAAAAGTTGGGTGTGCATTCCACTTTGGTCACGGTTGAAGTTGGGGCCCAAGCGCTCCATCAATGCAACAAAAGACCAAAATGCATCGGATTCATCCCTTATAACAAACAATATTGGTGATAAAAGATCGCTCATACCCTAAAAACCCAATAGATAGAAATGAGAATTATGCAGGATTTAGAGAAATAGGAATATTGGCTTCAAATGGAACAATTCAAGATAGGAAGATAAGAAGAGAAAACAGAAGCATAAATGCTCTAACATGTTACCTGACAATATCCAAGGTCAAAGTTATAGAAAGAATATGTCAACAGTATGTCCCGTAAAATTGTAACATTTGGATTACCGTCACCTTCATAATAAGGTATAGATCTATCTGTTCTAATCTTGAAAATTTTGAAGAGAAAAAAGGTTATTAGTAATTCAGTAATTAAATGTAAAACCTTTAGCAAAAATCTGATTTACATTGCGCCACTACAAAAAGCCAGATGTAATTATACCACATCCTTTTCAATAAGTCCCTTTCGCTCTCTGAACTTTGTAAACCTTCTGGCCTGTGTCTCTGAAATACTCTGTGTTTGAAAATTCCAGATTAGTTCCTAAAAATGCATCAAATTAATCAAAACTGCTATTTTCCAGTTTATGAAGTATTTCATGACATGAATACGTCTATTTACATTCTTCCCTAACTTGGAAGAAAGCCTGCAATTCACAATGCTGCTTAACGTACATGTTAATAAGTCTGAGAATGTTTAAGTATTATAACTCAGTAGGCCATGCACCGTTAATACAGCGCCATTCAAAAGTAAGACCTGTTTGGAACGAGCTACAATATTTTTTAGCAATTCAACGAACTTATATAAATTCCTCCATCATTCTAAAACCTGAGAGATGATAAAAAATTTATAATTGTTGAACTCATGATGCATGTTTGAAGACGAGGAAACTGAAAGATGACTATTTTTAGGAATTTTGGTTTTGGTTTTAGTTTTGAACCGTTTTTATTTTGTTCCAAACTAGGAAGGTCTGAATTTTCTGATTTTATGAACTCCTCAGGTCCGGTTCAGTTATCCATAATGGTCATCTCCAAGTGGCGTTGTGCTCATTAGTTTATGGGTGATATTCTAATGGGGGCGATGTTGCTTGAGAATGGATGTCATGAAGAAGATAGAATCATTTAATCATATTTTTACTCTAAGTATCACACTCAATTTTCAGGGGAATGACCAGTAATCCTGTTAGACCAGTACTCATAACTTCTCTACCTAATTTTCAAGATGAGAAAGGCATGAGAAATAAAGATGTTGAGACCACAGGATATGATGAGAAGCGCCATGGGAGCTTCCATAAAAGATCTCCTGTTTTTGTGCTCAATCGCCATCTGATTTGAGGGTCGATCGTCCCTTCAATTATATTAGCGAGTGATTGGTGGTGTTGCAAGGAGCACCCAAAGAGTGAGGATGCACCCATTAATGATGTCGGAAACAACTATGAGCCATATGGGATTTTCAAAAGACATTTTCTCCAATGCGGTTTTCACACTCTCATACGTAAGTCAGAATTTAACTTCTAGGTAAGAAAGCAACTCAACAAAGCTTTCTTTAGATAAAGGAATGGTAAAAATTAAAAAAAAAATTAAAAAATTTATTTTAAAAAAAAAAAAAAAAAAACTTTCCTTACAGCTTGGAGAGTATTTCTTGTGGAAAGGTATTTTGGTACCTTGAAGAAGTGAATGATTGATAATCGAACTATCTTATCCTCAAGATCTAGGTAAAACCAAAACACCCCTGAATTGAAGGAATTTTGGTTGTGTAAGCAACAGATAGTGAAAATCCACACCACATCATCCTCATGACGTGTAAAACAATCGTGCCCCAGGGATATCATGGATTGATCGAAGGAGATCTTTGACCTCGATACAATTGTAATTAGAGATTCAAACCAGACCATTGAATCTGTGTTGAAGACCTTGAAATGTGTGCTTGATTTTTTATAGATTTGATGAATGTGAATTCATGAGTCTTCATGTAATTTAATAATGCAGATATCAAAAGGACATTATTTATTTGTCAATCCTTGCGTAGGGATCATAGAAGTTTGAACTTTGATATATATGATAGGATAATCAGGATAAATAAACAGCCTTGTATTTTTAAGGACATAATAAGCCTGATGTCCCCGGCTTAAAAATTAGCTTGAATGGGTTCTAATACTTGATTTTGATTACATTAAAAAATTCATAGAGTTTCTAGTTTCAAATTTTTCTATGTATGTCGGGCATGGCATAGTTGGTTGTTTAATGAAATCGTAAACATGGGAGAAATGATAAGTATAACTAGGGCAACCCATCAAAGCACATCCAGACAAGCCCAGCCTGTGATGGTCTTTGGGAGCCTCCGTTAAATGATCTTTAAATGGGTATAGGTGGCATAATTGGCATCTTGATCCAAGTGGCTCCAATATGACTAGCTTGTATAGTTTGCTTGGGAGCAAAAGAGGCTACAAGAGTAGAGTAGCTAACTACAAGTTTAATAAGAAGGTCAGATTATCTACACATCTCCATCTCCCCCACACCCTTCATCTCATTGTAGGTAGGTCTGGGACAAAGAGATAAGGAGACACCTTGTGCTAACATAGTTCTCACTATTTTAGCATTTATTTCGAAGTAAAGATAAGCTAGTTTGAATTTGTTTTCTAAATTATACTATTATCTTATATTGTCTATAAATATAAGAGACTTCTTGTAGCCACTAATTTACGCTTTAGTTGGAAAATGTTTTAGTCAATAAATTAGCGTTGAAAATGTGTAAATATGTAAAATCCACAAATAAATTATCATAAGAAGTTCAAGAAAACAGATTGCTTATGAAGTTATGATTTTATAGAAAATTAAGATAAAAAAGATGCATACATCATATTTAGAAAATGAAAGAAAAGAAAAATAAACAGGAACAATGAATGTGAAACAATAAAACCTTCCATTGGGACTTCAATGATTCGTACTCAGATTTCTTCACTGAATCAAGATATTCCCTCTCAGCGAATGTAGAATCATACTCATACGATCCCAACAAGAATTTCCAAACCTATAATTCACGAGCAAGATATAGCCTATACAAAAATAATAAACAGAACAAGTGTAACTCATTGGTTCAAGCAAAGAGAGTGGGCGGTAGAACCTCCTTTCGCAGATCATTTTCCATTCCACCATAAAATATTCTTTTTCTCAAAGTTGTTGAATCCACAATGCGTCCCTCACGGCCTAGGAAAGCTCTCCACTGTCCCCAAAATTTAGAGATATAAAATGAATCTTGATAAATGTAACATAACATATAACAAAAAATAGAATGCAGCAAATAAGACGAAATTCTTCTCATAAGCTGTAACAATTTCACTGCCAAGAATTTCAAAACATGGAGTATGCACTCCAATGAGAGGTTAATGGTTTCCTTGACTGGACGATCAAATCAAGTCAATACTTAAGCATTTATACCTTTCACCATACAGTCTTGTTAATATTAGCATGTTTAGAGTCATAATTCTTATCTAACCAAAATCTTGTCTATGCATAGCATAGCAAGCAACACTCTAACGCCTTCACTTCCCAAACAAAAACTTGGAAAAAAGATATGATGGTACAATTAAAAGGGTCAAGTCCTATTATGTGAAGTAAATAACAAGAAAGTCATTATACGCTCACCATCAACATCTTCTAAACTGACTGATATGCAAAACACTCACATCGTACTAGACTGTAGGTGTGGTACATCGCCAACTCCATGGCAATCCTTCACCAAGCATAATGCAACATCAAGAATGCCGAATTAAGGTGGAATCCATTCATGTTCATGTCGAATGGATGATGAATAGTTATTAAATTAAGCTTAAAATGTACAAATTTAACTTGGTAGAACAAAACTGAAATTTCAAAGTGGAGGTAGATCACAAGTTCCATAGGATCATTACGGCTTCGTTTGGGATGGCTTTCTTACTGTTTCTTAAAACAACTTTCTAGTATAAAAATTATTTTAAGAAGCAGTAAGAAAATCATCCCAAACGAAGTCTAAAGGTTGAGAAAACACTACTTTTGGATCTAGCATATTTACTGCAAGCTTGATATGGTGAACAGCAAGCTAATTTACACTCAACCAGGAAGTACATTTTTGATCACCAAGGAAAGTTATTTAAATAAGGCACGCGTGTGCACCATTAGTTTAAGTCAATAAGCCATTAAACCTCAAAAGGAATTAACATCCATCTTGACATTCTCTTTAATGCCATGTCAATAGAAGAGGGTCACCATATTAGGATGATTATATCATAGCAGGAGGAATTGCTCCACCTAACTTTCAAAAACAAAATGAGGAACTACATAAATAATTAAAAACAATCTCAACAAAAACGTTTGCATTTGAACATTTGAATTTACCTCTTCATGGGTCAAAGGAAGCTTCATTTTCTTTCCACGTACATAGGATCTCACAGACTGTCAAAAACATAAAATCACTCCTTAAGCCTGAAAAGTGTGTTCATGTAACAAGAAAATTCATAATGCAAGTGAAAAAGGAGAGAGTGTATCAGGGGAAGTTCTGGAAAACTTTTTTCAACTAGTCTACCTTAAAGGTTAGAGATGCAGAACACTTTTTATTTACCAGAACATATCAGACAGTAGGATTGCGTAACCCAGTAACATATATCACGTTGAGTTTATTCTTTAAAAGGTGCTCAAATCTGTGCATTTCATATGTTCAAAGTAAACACTCATCTACATTTGTACATTCGGGCTAGCATTTATCTTTGTAGTTTAAACATATTTTTAAAACTCCATACGATTGATGAGCATATCCATTATTAATAGAACAATCTTACATGCACGCATGTATAAGTGTTTTTCATTTACAAACACGTAATAATGATAAAAAACAATGGCACAGAAAACACCATATTCTGTTACCGATGCATGAAAATTTTGAATAATTAATTGTAATGATTAGCATGCTAATCCAATAATCCATAACATGAGGTATCAAATAGACTGGAGACAAAATCAAGCATATCATTTCAAAACCGAATGGTGCCTTCAAAGGGCAATGGGTATTTCTAGTCAAACAACCCAGATACTTTTATGGTTTCATGCTCAGAACTTTCAATATTAAGAAGCTATTAAACTTCTAGCGTTTATGTTCACGCTGGGAAGGAAACACTTGATTACAATTTTTCATTGGACAATTTTTAAAATGATATCTGTTGCTAATTATTTTGACAAAAACAAAACGAAAAAATAAAAATTTAGATATGATGCTAGTCATTTGGTAACCCTACGACAAGCTCTCACGAGGCAAATCCACGTGGCAAAGGGTCTAGTTGGTCAGGATTTTGCATCCAGGCACGGGTGGGATGGGGGCAGGTCCTGGGCTTGGATGAATGGGTCTAGTCACGAGTCGAGAGGCATGTTCTTGCCTTTCTTACAAGACCAACTCCATTTAATTTGATTTTCACAAAATTATTACAATTCACAATTTTATATTATATTTCAATTTAACGGTTTATATTATCGTTCAATTTAACGATTTTATGTTACAATTCACTTATATTATTCAATTAATTTGGGCAAGTCGTTTAAAAAGGAAACAACTTGCCTATTAATAAATTAAATGAGAAAAAGACCAAAATGGTCCCTAAACTCTTTGTGAGGGATCAAAATGGTCCCCAACTCTTTTGAGGAACCAATTTGATCCCCCAACTCCTTAAAAAGGGGCCCAATTTGTTCCTAACATTAAATTATGGGACTAATGGTGTTAAATCGAGAGGTATTTTGGCCATTTTTTAATTAAATTATTTATTAAATGTAATTTTGAAGTAATAGTATTTTTTTTAAATTATTAAACATTTCTTAATAAAAAAGGTATTATCGAGCAATACTGTCGAAGAGCACAGGAGAGAAGTAAACTTAGAGGAGAGGGCTACAACTGTGTTCAGAGAGCGCTACAACTATGTTTAGTATTGAGCAATACTTAGAGGAGAGGGGTAAGGTATTATCTAAGCTAAATGGACATTTGTCAAGAGCCCAACAAATCATAAAAAGGAAGGTCGAAGAGCACAGGAAAGAAGTAAACTTCGAGCTAGGAGGAATGAGAAATTATCCCTGTGGACTTTGGACCTTATGAGGTCATTGAATATATTGGAGCAGTAGCCTATCAACTGAGGCCACCACCTTCATCAGCTTTGCACCCAATCTTTCATGTCTCACAGCTAAGGTGATAGGAGAGCATACACCATCATCTCTACCCCCGACTTTGACAAAAGGCATGGAGGTCATTTTGGAACCATTGGATGTAGTGAGTGTGCATAGAGGGAAGACATGGGCATAGAAGGTGCTAATCAAGTGGAAAGATCTGCCAGAGTATGATGCCACATGGGAGCCATACGAGATAATCAAGAGACAGTTCTCATTCCACCTTGAGGACAATGTGCATTTTGGGGAGGGAGTATTGATATAGGAGAGGGCAGCAGGCTGGTCCAACAAGAGCTGGACCAGCAGGGGGCAGAAAAAGCAAAGGATTCGCCCCCCTTGCGGGGCCCATTAAACCTATCATTACATATGTGAGAAGAGGAATTAAGGAATTCATGAAAGGATTAATTAAGAAGGATTTCCTAATTTCAATTCAAATTAGAGAGGGAAATATATTAGAAAAGGGAGGCTGGTTTAGGAAGAGATTAATTAGGAAGGATTTCCTAATTGAAATTTAAGTTAGAGATAAAAATATATTAAGAAGGGGGGAGAGCTGATTTAGAAGGAAAATAGGAGAAGCCTATTAGGCTAAGTTTAGGGTTTATTTTGTTTATGCAGAATTTTATTGGAGAGTTGATATAGTTTTTATTTCATGAGGGCTTTCCAGTAACATCTAAGTTGTTTGGGAGAGTTGGTCTATCTCTCGAATTATAGATCGCTTGTATATATCTTTCTTATTCAAGTTATAATAAAATGATCAGCCATCTATATTCGTATTTCAGCAGTTTTTTTTCATTGTGTTTGTTATTTTTGTCTCCAAGGCGCATCAAATTGTTATTAGGCTTCTTGATTATGGCCTACCTTATATGCATATAGTGTAACCTATCCTTGATCTCACATTGTAATGTAGGTTTTCTCATAATATATGTATAATAAATCAACTATTATATTACATTTATCTTAAAGCAAATCCAAAAGTTTTAAAGCCATATAACTGAATTTTGGTCAGAGGATGTATTGGTCACTGTGAGCTTAAGTGAAGAGAAACATGGTGACATCTTCGTGAGGGGATGCAGCCCCGAAAGCTGAGGTAGAAAGAAGCTTGTCATCCTTGGAGAAATAGGTGAGAGCAGATTGACATGATGCTGATGGCCAGTGGGAGTTGGTAAGTGGTAACTGCGTGTTAAGGGTCATCCATATGGGGTAGGTGCCAGCAAGGATGTAGCTCACTAGGGTATCTTCTTATAAGAGTTTGAGAGCGTCAGTGCTACAAGAGAGAAATGGTAGGTCAGTTATTATTTGTGATGAACCACAATAAGGAGCAGGTGAACACCTAAAAGCTTTGCACATGGAGTAGGGAGAGGCAATAGCAAATATCAAGAAACATTATGCAGGACCGTCACTGATATGAGCACCTGAGCTTAGGAAGGAGAGTTTCTATAAGAGGATGCAGCTATAGCAGCTCATCGAGGAGAGATATCGAGGAGAGAGAGCAAGAGTAGGAGATGCAAAAGCTACTTCTTTTGAACATGAGAAGGAGCATCCACCTAACGAGTCCTACGAGGTTACAAGCACCCAAAGAATAGTTCTTGGATAGCTATTTGCTTGGGTGCAAAAAATGAGTGATATGTTAGAAATTTTCATAAATAAATTTTTAAAAAGAATAAAGAAAATTGTATGTTGTTTTCATATAAAAAGATAATATATTATAATTTTCTATAAATTTTTTATTTAAAAAAATAAAAAGAATGAAATAACAGGTCACCTAATTTATTCAAAATCTTTCAATACCACAAAATTTTCAAATATTAACTGAAGGTTTTAATTCAATTTGAGGATTTAATTGCTAGGTTAATCAAGCTAAACAAGGTCAATAACCGCAGCATTATTTGGACAATTCATCTAGTCTAATTCAGTAAAAATTCATTTAATCACGGTTGAGAAGATGAAGCTGGAGTTGAATAGTTTTGAATCGATAATGACTGCTCTTGAACAGAATTCAAATAAATTCAGTTATACTCAAAAAACCAAGCTGCAACGGAGTGGTGTTATTGTAGCTTCAAGTATCTTAAGTTTAAGCATGAATGAAGTGAAACCTAAGCGGGTTAGGCTGGGGACCCCATTGGCTCAGTCATGTATAAATTAAACTTGGTCAATTTTCAATTAGCCTCTAGTAAGGTTTACGAGGGTCAATTAAGGCCATGTTACCTTTAAAGTTTGACCAATAGAGCCTATTTAAATTAGATTCATGCATTTGATCGTAACTAGATTTATCATAATACTCAGTAGCTCATTTGTTATAAGACTTTGTAGCACCACTAACAAGCGAATTAAGTCTGGTGAGCTCACTTATGAACTTGTTGAGGTTAATTACAATATGAGTTGCATTAACAATTACATAGGACTCGAGTTAGGTCAATTCAAGATTAGATGGTCTAATGAACTTGTTTAAAGTACCAAGATCTTAAATCGATGGAAAGGGTAATTGGGTCCCAACTAGGTCCACTTTAGATGCATAAGGACGATTTGGTCTAGTGAATGGAGGATGGCAACTAGCCAACTTGGATCCTTACAGAGAGCATAGGCTAGATTGTCATTGCATTGAGTCAACATGCGCCATAAAAATTAAAGGGATTTATCGGTAATTCAAGGCAACATCAAGCTGCACATGTGTACAATTGTTCAATCATTGGGCCAAAATGGATCAGTCGAGGTAGACCATAAACTGATGAGAAGTCAATTTTCCTTGAAGAATTTCAGAGGTCAACAAAAGCCAAAATGAAGAGTTGTTGAAAATTATGGGCAGAATTTCAGTTGAGCAAATTAATAGGACCAAACACATGCTGCCCTAGTTTAATTAATCTGCTTTGATTTTTTGTAATTTTTTCCCTCTGAATAATATCTAATTATCATTTTTTTAGATCAACTAAGGTAAGCAAAACCTTAAATATCAAATCTACCTATTTGCAATTACATTCCAACCGAGATTCTACAATTCCTCTTCGTAACCACCCAGAGTCTAACTCAATCAATGAATTCTGATGAATCATATAGCAAATGGAAAGATAACGTTCAGAACTGTTACTACAATTAGGATCCTATAACTCTACAGCAAATCAGGATTTTCCAATATATCAAGTTATGTTCTATTTATTGTAAATTAAACCATCAACGCAGTTATCATGAAATCACACATTTGTTTGCATTCTCATACAGGTATTACATGTAGTCGGAACTTACTTTTTCATTTCTACATTAAGGTAGCAATGGACCAAAGAGAACTGCTTTCTAGCATTTTAGATTAATGTGTTTTCTTAGTTCTTTGGGCTGTGTGTGTGACAACCGGTTCAACTGAACCGGCCGGCCCACCCTTTTAATATCGCGAACAGAGAAGGTTCGCGGAACAGCGGCATTCGCGAAACAGAGAAGTGGGCGGACGACCGAGCGTGCGAAGGTAGGTTTCTGAGTTTTCTTTCGCCATTTTTAGCAGTCGATCGCGTTGGAGGATAAGAATAATCAACGCCTTTTCATTTCCACAGTTAACAGAAGTGTTATTTTGGGAGAATTGCAAAGAATGAGAGAAACGAACGAGGAAAGAAAAAGAAAAATGTTTGTTGGATTTTCTTACGGATTTTTGTATAAATTTTCTTCTTTTCTTCGTTTAAAGTGAACAATATGCTTCTTGAAGTAAAGGAAGAGATTTGAAGCAAAGAGAGAGAATTTTGGAAAAGGAAGAAGGATTTTTGGGAGATTTGGAAAACCCCATTGTAAGAAATTTATGTCATGAAAGTATTATTGAATTTTATTTGATAAAACAAATTCATGAAAACTTTATTGCTTGATGTTAGAGATTTGGAGAGAGGTTCGAGGTAGCACCCTTCGCCGAAGGCCTGAAAAGTTCAAAGTGGATAATTATAATTATGAAATTCAAATTTTAGTATTATTATTCTGCTTTCAAAGTTTTAATTTAAAGACTACAATGTACAAAATGTTGAAAGATTAAATACCTAAATAATTGTAAGTATTATTCTAATAAGAAACAAATAAAATGAATTACATAAGAATGAAAAGAAAATATATGTATGTATTAAAGAAATATTGAAAAGAAATGACATATGAAATTGAATAGAAATGTTATGATAAATGTAAAAGAAAGGAAAATGATATATATGAATATTTCAGGAGTTCACCTCCTTATAGTACTGGCTGGGGACACCGTACTCGTGCACGTAAAAAGGAAAAGGAAAAGGTAATGGAAATGGAAAAGGTTGTACTTTTGAGTACATTGAGATGGTGCTCCTATATGAATTAAATGGGAAAAGAAAATAATCAAGATAGCTTTAAATGTTTTTAAGCAAAATGATCGAATATGTATTAATTATCGAAATAAATGGAAAAAGTTGAATGAATGATTAAATACATGTTGAAGATTATAAGAGTATTGTAAATAAGAACATTTATTTTAATTGTTTAATTATTTACCCACTGAGTTTACTTAGTAAACTAAGTAAACTCAACCCACGAGTTTAAATGTTTCAGGTAAGTTCTTAAAGAAGAAATTGCTGAAAGAGAAGAACATGTTTACAGAAGACGACGTGCAGATATCAATAGGTAATTTATATTTGTGTTTAATGTCTCTTTAGTACAAATGAATTAGTATAATGTTTAAGAAATTTTATCGTCCGACTTTTCGTACCCGCCTCGTTAGATCGAGCATCCGGGCCGGGTCGTGACAGTGTGTGCATTTTGTATGAATCAGGATGTTATTTTAGTCGCATATTTTTTGTGTCAAAGACAATTTATTTGGTTTGTTCAGGCATCTTAAGCACAATTAATACCTAACACTTGCAAGAGTCAAACGGAATGACATCCTAACTTCCCAAGAGTTGGGAATTTTGAAAAGTGGAGCATATTAAAATCTGAAATGTATCAATAAACTGTTTATATAATATATATACCAGTATGTAAAGAAATATTAAAAGCTTAATATCTGGAAAAAGAAGTACCTTGGAATCAACAGATATTCCCTCAATATCATCAGGCTTTGTTCGTGTATTATTATTCGTTCTATAGTCGAGCTGGCTAACTGTTGTAACAGGGGAAGGACTATTTTGAAGCTTTTTGTCACGAAGAGGTGAACGAGTGTCTTGAATTTCGCGGAAGATTTGAGTTGTTGCATCCCGGGCCAACTTGGTAACAAGCGAAAACTTCTCCAATACTTGAACGGAGAGATCATGAGCAGGATCAGGAACCTTGTACTTTTTCTTTCCGCTATGTTTAGAAGCAGTGGAAACACCACCAGAGGCTATGCCATTTTCCCTCTTAGAGTTATCAATTGCAGAAACTGCACTTGGTGAATGGTGCAACGTTGCCCCATTTGCAACTGAAAGAACCCTTGGTAGCTCCAGAGATGACAGGCTTTTCTGTAAAAATAAAAATAAAATGAAAATAAAGAGAAGTGAAATATCTCAGGTTTAATTTTACTAATTTTGACTGCAAAGGTCATCAGCCATAGAACTTAAGCCAACTACATATACTGAGTGGACAGCTTTTTAAAGCAAGTATCTTATCTATGTTCATTGTGCAACATTCCGAGCAGAAAATATAAATCACACCTCATGCAGTATTGAGGAATCAGGAAAATTATCCCAAATCATTGGAATGAATCTAATGATGACAGTGATGATCCTATACTTATGCTGACAAAGTTGGGGTTTTATTTAAAAGAAATAAGGATGGTAGATAAGGGCGGAGCCAAGAGTTTATATTAGTGGGGGCTCAAATTAATAATTTTAAAATATTTTCAAAAAAATTTAGGTGATTTCTTTTCTCTTTTATAAATATAGAAATTATAAAATTAATGTTTAGAATTTTATTAATAATTTAAATAAAAAGTAAAAGCTTAAGAGTAAATTACTCTGTGGCCTACTGGAGTTAGAGATGTTGGGTTCATTAACTGGTAATAGATTTGCTCTTTTTTTTATAAATTAATGTTTTTTTTTTAACTTATTGATTCGAAGATTGTAATCCTTCTCTCAACAATGTAAGACTATAATTTAGTGGCTTTAATTTCATAATTTTTTTTATAACAGAGGTTTGGAGTTTTAAAAATAATTTGAAGTTTCTAATGAAATTTTTAGTTGATCCAAAAAAATAATACTAGACCCTATTAATGTAAATAAATAGATTTAAAAGACAGAGATAGAAAGATAGAGATAAGGTAGAATGTTAAAAAAAAGTTAGAGAGAGAGTGAGTGGGGAGGTGAGAGGGAATGAGATAGGGCGGAACTCGAGGCGACAAGAGAAAAGTATGAAAGATTTGGTGAAGAGCTGCTAAAATATTTACCCATTGCTTAATTACTATAGAAATAGCTACTGTTATGATTTTTAGCCTTTTAATTACAAAAAAAAATTAATGGGCTAGTGGGGGCTAGGGGTGTAAGTGAGCCGAGCCAGCTCGAGCTCGACTCATTTATGGGCTTGCGAGCCAAGCTTATCGAGCTCACGAGTCAAGCTCGAGCGCGAGTTCTTTCCATCCCCTCCGAAAATCTTGCGAGCTCTTTCCAACCTTTCGTCTCGGCTTCTAATCTCTTCGTCTCTCCGCAAGTCCCACTCCATCTGTATCTTTCTTCCAAGTGCAGCAACTTTAGGGTGTCGTCTTTAATTTTAAGTTTGCAAGTCGTCGTCGTTTGTAATTTTTTAATTTCTTTTCTGTCTTTAAATTGAAATGTAAGAGTTTGCTCGTCGTCATAGAATTATCATCTATTTTAGTGTTTTAGCGGGTGTCCGGGTGCTCATCTCTTTTGTGTGGGCGAGGGGTATAGGCTCCTATATTTCTTGCCCCCACCATTAATGGAGTTTTCCATTGTTCCTCACATGCTCTCTGAGTGGATAGATTCTAGGAGGATTTGAGACTTGGTGGTGATGCAAGAAGATGATCTTCAATATAAGGTAATCACTGTATTGTGAGATTCGTGGGTTTCTTTTGTACTTGGAATTTGGGTCAGGGTTGGTAAGTGTCCTTATTTTAAACTCTGACAATTGTTGCTTCTATTCTTATTAGTGTATCAGATCTTCACCCACTCTCCGCTTTTGCATAAGTAGGCCTCGTTGAAGCAAAATTATGAAAATCTAGGTGCCTTCTGTGATGTGTTTTTTCATTTTATTTATTTTCTTTAGGCACATCTTTATCGATCCTAATGACAGTTCAACAGTTGATGGCTCTCATTACAATAACAATCATAAGTCCTAGTTATTTTTTTTATCTTAAAGACATTCAAAATATGTAAAGCAGGCAGCAATAATAGCTGGCTATAACTGCATAACAATCATAAACTCATTTGCAAGCTGATTTGCTCAGTAGATGGATCATTCTACATCATCATCATCACTAATATCTTGTGCATTTACAATTTTTAGGCAAATATAAATCTTCTTTTACAATACTAAGAGCTGGAGTTGGTCAAGGTATCAATGTATCAACATATTCTTAAATAGGTTTAGCCAGTCAGCCTTGGTGTCCAACCCCTTGTTCTGCCTCGTCCATCAACATTAGACCTCTCCACTTGCACTAGTGGAGCTTAAAACCATCTCATCTACCACATTATTTCTCATGGTAGAAACTTCACAACATCACATGGCAGCTATGCATTTCTACCATACTGGGTCCCTTTGTTTCTTCCTGCTCACCTCTTTTTTGGTTCCCCGTACTCGGATATATACAACATAAGGATAAAAGTTATTCTTATAAACTTACCCAAGTTCTCTCTTATCACTCATCACTTCACCAGTTCTTTTCAACCAACAAGCATTAACCACTATATTTATCTTCATATTCATTTTTGTGAGGGAGGAGTAATTCAAGGTATGTGAAACTACCACAAGGGCATGAATTATTCCTCAATAATCATTGATTGATCATTTGCATTTTCATATTAAAAAAAAAACTAATAGTGCATGCTCAGCATTTGTTAAGTTAATCTAGCAATCTCTATTCTAAGTTTCCTGTTTGCTCCAATTGCATTTTGAGCGTGATGGTCACCAACTAAGGTCAAAATTCAGTAAAAAGTTAAATTCAAATTTCTACATAATAATGTTTGTTTATTTAGCAAAGAGAATATAATATAATAAAAGATGTTTCTTCACACTAAGTCATTATTTTTTCTGATAAAGAAATTTTATTCGTTGTCCATAACTAAGAGTATTTATTTTACTCAAGTATTCAGGGGAAGTTCACATCAAGAAAATAAAATTTTAAAAACTAGGAAGCACGAGTTCTATAATTTTTTTAAACGTGTGCCCAAATAGGCAAAACTTCTTTTTTCCTCCATTAGCCCCATATCAAAGGGTAACCAAACATGCACCAAATCAATATTTGCCCTACCGGTAGAAACGGAATCATTCGGAAGCATAAATTCGCACATTATCCGCATATCCATTTTATTTACATTCATGACATATTTAAAATGACCTGGACTTAAAATTGGTTTACAAAATAATGGGTAGAAAATTTTACTATCACTCAACTACTTTAAATAAGAGTCTTTGTTCAATTATAAATATCCCGTTGTAAGTTCTATACACCCTTGCTTACCACACACTTCTGCTCAATTCTACCAAACTGAATTTGATATTCTAACAAAAGAATGAAGTAAAAAGTTAGTGTGGAAGTAAACAAATGGAGGATCCTAAGAAATGATGTTTAAGTAGAAATTTGTATGATAATTTATGGAATAATATAATAATAATAATAAGCTAGGGCATGAAAAAACAGGAACAACAAAAAAAAAATAATATGGTACCTGAAGAGAATCCTGGAAATCATTTAGCCTAAAGACATTTGCATCATCTGCAGACCTGGAGATATCAACTTTCTAATTAAGAAACCTGTGTAATAAGCTCTGTCATTACAGCACAGCATACCCATGAACAGAAAATCAATAGATGATGCTTATCTGCAAGATGGTCTTTTGTATGCTGGTTATTATAGTTATTAAGGTAGCCTCAATTTTAACAGAAAATTTCTGGAAACATACATAATTTGAATATGCATAACCAAAATAGAAGCACGAACCTCACAATAAATACATGCTGCTTCAATATTGCAAAAAATTCACGAACTCCTCCATTATAGAAGTACAGTGGAGGGAATGCAAGCCCTATATTAGCCCCCAAAAAAATGTTATTTTGATTTGTATTATCCATGCCAAGTCAATCTCAAACATAAGCACACAAGTAAACAATAGAAGAAATTCCAGTATTCTGGACATAGCTATATCCCAACCCATTAAAAAGACTCTGAGGAGCATAATACATGTTTAATAACTTGCATGAGCATGACAAATAGAAATCTAACCATATAGACAGGTCGGCGATGTATCATCATGTCATATACAATTATTTTTCATAAGCATAATGAAGTAGTCCACAATTATATCTTTAACCTACTATAAAATAAATTTGTGCTCAGGATATAAGTGGTGGCTATAGAAATTTGTTTTTTATCAGAACAATAACTTTGCCCGATAAGAACAGTCTATAGTTGTGGTATTAGCATAGATGAAGAATCTCAGTTATATTAGCTGTTCAAAATGATCAAAGTAGCCCTGAGCATGCTTCCGCAGTAGGTACAACCAAAACAAGTTTCTAGAGCATAAGCTTCCCTTAGTGGCAATAGTAAATATAATAAAAAACACTTACGCGGACGCAATCACGCAAGCAAGAAAGATAAAAAATGCTAGCAGTAACATTAAGCACACAAAAATAATATGAGAAATGTTCACATCTTGTGTTGGTAATAGGTTTGAATAAGGAGAAACAACAAATCAACCGCACATTTGCCTAGGAAGTTCCGCGCTAGCATCCAAAGAATTAAGCAAGAAAATAAGAACAGTGCACAAAACAAAGCTATAAAACAGAATATCAGGAAATTGGTTAAGCATCAACTAGATTTACCTGACGAAAGGATAACAATTATATACTGCCATCCAATTGTTGGGATATGCCTTCTTATAGAATGGACGCTAGTCAAGGGCACTGATTTGATTGTGTACAGGTTCATATCTGCATTTAATCACAAAAAAGGTGAATAGGTGAGAAAGATTGATAGCCCTAATCTAACACAATAATTACTAGAAGGAACGTCAAATCATAAATCCTATCAACCTTTCTCTGATACACTTGAGCTTAAATTACGCCCCGCAGTGCCAACCAAATTAGATGCAGTGCGATAGGGTATCCACGTCTATTGCAATGCATAGATGAAAGAACTCAAAAAAATTTCATCTCATGTCATAGACTATCGCGAGAAAATCTCAAATGGCATAAAGAGACGGATGAAGCAGCTGTTAAAAGACTAAAGGACCAATTTCAACTCAAGAAAGTGTATCAGCAACAAGAAGGGAAAATATTGGAGCGAACCAAGAACAGCGAAGAGCTCTGCTTAATGATTCGCAAACGGCCGATAATCCGCTCCGAGGCGTACTGGCTCGGGTGAATCGCGACATTCTCTTTGGAGTATACCAGCTCGAATTCATTGGCATCTCTCATCTGATCGGAATCGCAGCTCAAATTGCTAGCTGAATCCTGCAAGATCCAATCTACAGCGTGTGAAGCAGCTGACCAGGAGAGGATTGGAGATCAGAAGGGTCAATTGCTTCTACCTGACGCTGGGAGGCGGCGTAGTACGGGTCATCGCAGAGATCATGCAGCTCCATCTGGTGTGTCGCCGGGGAACTTGAGTGAAGGAAGGAAGAAGAATCGATGGAGACTTGGGAACCGAGAATAGGACGGCAGTGCAATAGTTGGGTTCTTATAGCTGGGCTTTGGCGCGATGCGCTTACCGATAAAACAATGAGGGTCTGCGAACGTTTCCCAAAAAAAAAAAAGGTCTACGGCCAGCGGTGACGACGTGGCGGTGACTCGTGAACATTAAGTTTCTGAACTGTTTGTTAAAAATTATATAATAATAATTTATGCTTCAATATCTGAATTATTTTAAAGTAATAATAATTATCATAGTTATAAAAATCAGATTACATGTAAAATCAAAATAAGAAGAGGTTTAAATTCAATGCTTCAATCGAGTTTAGATCGTGATTAAATTGAATGATATAATAACTATTTAAATTATTTAAATGTCACCTAATCAATATAATAATTATGTAATAATATTAATATATGATTAAAATATAAATAAAATGTATAAAAAATAATAGATAAAATTAAATATTATTCACATTATTAAAATTTAATTAAATATATATATATATATATATGTTAAAATATGTAGTATAAACATGATAATTCATCTTAATTTTTTTTATATGCTTTGTTTATAGAACTTTTTTGGTTCACATGACTAAAGAAGTTGTATGGGATGATGGGTCATATGATAAAGCATAATTGATGCTTATATTTAACAAAGCATTATTATTAAAATTGCATACTTATATAAAAATTCAAATATGTAACAAATGATTTTTGAAATTAATCATTTCATATTGAATAAACTGATTGATTTTTAAAACTGAGATCTATTCTCTGGTTAATCGGTTGAACCATCGGTCAAGGCGCTTAAGGCCAATTTGTGTTGAAGATAGTTTGTGTCGAAATCGATTTTAGTAAAATGTCGAACCAGCTGGTAGATCGGTTCATGATTGAATCGACCAATCTAGTTTGATTTTCAAAACATTCATAATTATCACAATTTTTTATCTCTTATCATAAATTCTTCAAATAATACTCTAAGGCTCAATAAAGAATGATACCTTGGTGGTGAGTTAAAGCGAGATCACTATAGTTCTAATTTTGTTTTTATTTTGAGCTTAAGCCAAATTTGAATTAATAAATCTTCATTGATTTCAAGTGCATGATTAGATCTTATTTGATCAATCTTATAATCTCAAAATATTTTTTTTACAAATAAAACTTATATAACCATACATTTGGAGATTTTTAGAAAAATAAGAGCATTTTATCTCATATATTTCATATCATTCATTCATTTCATTTGATGATTGATATTTAAAGTGGATATTAACTTTTTAATGTGATATTAGATTTAAAAAAGATGCTTAACTACTTTAAATCTCAAGTGTTTAAAGTTATTGATGAGTGGGGTGAAATGCATGAGAATAATTGCTTATATAAGAGGATGGTTTGAGAATTTAGGTCCTTTTCAATTAATTTATGTGACTCCTATTTAAGAAAATAAAATCAAATGAATATAAATATCTTGAATACAAGAGCCTCCTCTCCCTTAGTTTGTCAAAATTTTCCCTAAAATTTTCTTTTGGTTGTATACCTGATACATCACGCAAAAAGCGCCTTGCTTAGGTATAAATTTTGTTGTATATTTGAATTGAAAACTTTCATGATTAAATTTATGATTATTCAAATTCTGATTTTTGTAAACTTACAATTAAATTGAATGTATTAATGAGAGGAACACATCAACACCAAAAGTAATCTGATCTAAATCTAAAATAGCCCATATTAAGCACTTAAAATATAAATATAAATATTGAAACATTAATTAATCCACTAAATGAAACCCAATTCTTGCAAATTTATAGTCAAATCAAACATCACCACAAGATAAATCCAATCATCCTAAGATCGCTTAATTTTAACATCATTAAATTATTTGCATGTTAATAAAATGTTCTATCATCAAAGAAATTAATAAAGATTGTTTGATGCAAAGTTCTAGATTTTTTCTATAGTTATGGGATATGCATCTCTAAAAAATTTATAAATAGGTCATCACTCTCTATATAAAAGGGACGATGACTTGAGATTGATGAGAGGTCAGAGGCTGGCTTGAAAAATATAGGAGCTCAATTGGGTACCACCGCTAGATCACCATCATTAGTTTGCTACCGCCAGACTACTATCATCAGACCATCTGCCACCTGACAAACTGCTATCATCAGACCATCTGCCACCTAACAACTTTCATCGTACTTTCGTCTCCCCCAAATCATATAATTGTGGGACCACCTCCATCATTGGTCCACTAGTGTCAGACTATTGTCATATTATCATCACCCAATCGTTGTCATCAGACCATCATCTCCCAACCACTATCATCAAATCATTGCCACTCAACCACTGTCATCACCAAATCATTGCCAAAAACAAGAGCCTCCTCTCCCTTAGTTTGCCACTCAGCCACACAATGATATAGATTGTGCACCAAAAGAATTATATTTCAGTTGGGCAAGGCCCCTTTGGTTTTTCCCATTTCGAGATTTTTTTATGTAAAAATTTTGGTATCTCCCTTACTTTCTTCATTTATTTATTGTGTGCATGATCATCATGCAAAGCAAGGAGTCAAAACTCTCTCACTTTACTCACTTGAATTTTCTAGCATGCAATATTATATACTCAAGCTCTCTCTCTCAAGTTATGAACTATTTGTTATTCTCTTCCTCTCCTCACTTATCTTCAATATCAATAAGGTGCAAATCTCTTACATTGTAATTATATAAAGTGGTATCAAAGCTTAGTATCAAATTTCTTCTCATTTGAGGCTTCCTTTTGGTTGTGTGCTCTTCATGTTACCTTCACCATCCTCTATATTAAATTTGTATAGATCTTGATTTATTTGAAAAAATAGCATTTTTCATCCTAATTGTCTTCATATTTAACATAGACTTTCATATCATATCGCTAATTGACAAATAAAATAATATACTATATATTAATGTGTGGACTACTATCTTTGGCTCCACCAAATCCCTTCCAAATTCTTACATGATCTCCTTCCTAGCACACCAAATGCCCTTATATTCAAGGTATTGCCTCCCATATTAAAAACCTAATATTTAAACTTCCTAAATATTCACAACCTACCTTATTTGCTTTTATAAATTCTTAAATGCAAGCTAGTATAAATTTTTTCGACTTGTCTCAAATATCTTCCCTTAATTACTCCCCTCATGTATCACTTTCTCTAGAATATTTAAAAAAGTTATCCTTAGATATCCATGATTTAATCATCTTATTAAAAGCACATATTATCATACTCATTTAATCTATAATTGTTGCATGTTGAAAATCCTATGATTGTAAAGTAATAGTTTTTTATCTTAGCGTTACATAAAACTCTACGCATATGAATGAAAGGAGCTCTAAAGAGACATCAAAATTTATATATGATTGAATAGAAAAAAATCACAAAACTTGGCCAAATTAAAATAGTTCACCATCTAAGTAAGATTAAAGAAGTCTGCTCGTCCCCTCAGTTAGAAAAGATGGGATTACAATGTATGAATTGCTATATAAAATAATTAAAAAAAAATTGGCCAATTTTTTATTCACATACAAAAATATATTCTTAAACTCAATTCAAGAGCTTATATAACCACTGCACCTTTTCAAGCAAAATAGTTTATTATAGGGCAAGAGTTGTGGATCTTTATTTCAGGTATAATCACAATGTTATCTTGAATTTTATCCAAATGTGTAATGTAATAAGTAAAGGCACAAAGAATGCAAACTAAACTATAGATCAAACTCAAAATAATAATTTTTACATTACTTGGCGAGACAGCTTTCTTACTGCTTTCTAAAGCAGCTTTTAGTACAAAAATTTCTTGAATAAAAATTTTTATACTAAAAATTTTATTTAGAAAGCAGTAAAAAAACTATCTCAAATAAAACTCTAGCCTACATCTATGCTTGAGGATTAGGAACCTCTTACTTAAGATTTCATTACCACTTATTCTGTCACAAGCATGCAAGAAACTATCATCCCATCTACCTTAAAAAGGAAGAGCACCCACCTTTTAACAAATGAAGAGCATCAAATGAACATAAATTTTACATCCCAAGCTTCTTTAATCCCACCAAGTCTTAACATGATAATTTTGCTAGAGAAAATAAAAATCTATCAAAATACAAACTTGGATGATGGCTAAAGCAATCATCAAATAAATCTAACTATACAATCTCTTTCAAAAAATAATTACAATTTTTCATTAAAAAAACAATCAAATGATACAAAACAGAACGATGGAGAGAGAGAGAGAACAAAAAGAGTTCCACTTGACAAATATCGTGTAGACCTTCGATTAATTAACCATCTAGCTCATAATCTCTTTATTTAACATATTAAATGATTGCTCAAACGGTCTCATATTTCTAGACAAAGAGAGCAAGGATATAAAAAAAGTTCAACTCATTCAAGACCACAAATAAAACCATTAATAATGTGATTCTCAGGGCCTCATTGGATTGCTTCAAGTTGCAAATTATGCTTTAGAAAATGATGAATTGCTTAAATTCCATCATTTAGTTAGATATAATTAAAAGTTTATAATAATTGTCAACTCTACAAATATCATTAAAATCTCTTGTTGATAAGAACTTTATGCTTTATGGTGCATAGTTTTGGCCATTAAAAAGAAACATAATATTAAGTTAAGTGTTGCAGAGATGAGGATGCTCAGGTGGATGAGTGGCTTTACTCTAAGAGACATGATACAAAATAAGCATATACAAGAAAAAGTTTGAATAACTCTAGTTGAAGATAAGATTAGAGAGAGTTGCCTTAGATGATTGGGTCACATAAAACGGCAACCTTCCGATGACTTGATTAGAAAAATATATGTATTAAATTTGACTTATACTAAGAAAAAAAGAGGTAGATAAAAAAAAAACTTGATTAAAAAATATTAAAAATGACATTTTTTATTAGATTTAAATAAGAACTTAACTTTTAACATGACACAATGGAGAAAAAGAATGTAGTTAAAGATTAAAAAAAAAAGACTTTATTAAAAAATATTAAATTGAAAATAAAAAGATAATTTTCAAAATATATTTTCAACTACAAGCAATACTCGACAACCATCCAAATAAGCCTTAATATCAAATGCAGAAAAATAACAGCACATCGCCAATTAAACACAAGAAAACCTAAGTCACGGGAATCCTATTTTACTGTTCTTAGGAAGAATGGCTGGCGCAAAGGAAGAAGATATAGAAAGAAGCTGCCCAATATATTTCCAGAGAAATTACTACATCCATTCTGAATAACACAAAACCAAGATGTACAAACAACTCCAGTTCTTCTCCAGATAAACTTCTTCCTACCAGCAACAAAGCACAAAAAACGCAACCCTTGAGGGAAAAACACAAACCATGTAAAATTATCCAGATTAAAGTTGATTCTTGGCTACATGGTACATGCACATTTCTTCTATATAACTTATGTACCAAGCAGAATTCACCTTGTTTCTGCAACTTCAGAAATTTGATCAGCTTCTTGTTTCACATCCCCTTTTGAATCTTTCTGCTCACAAACACCATTAGAACTGTCAACAGCAGGCGAACCTTGACTTTTTCTGATGAGTTCTGGCTTGAACATGTCATCATTTTCCAGATTTGCCAGTTTCTCCTTCAATTCCCCTTTCAGCAAACCCACCACTTCCAGCATTGTAGGTCTCTTCTCAGGAGTGCTATAAGCACAAACTAGAGCAACAAGCACCATTCTCTTCATTTCAGCTTCCACAAAGTTGCCATTGAGCTTTGGGTCTGCCATTTCATTAAACCTTTTCTCTCTAGCAAGTGGGAGTGCCCAGTCAGTGATGGATCGCTTCACCGTTGGGCTCAACTTTTCCAATGGTTTTTTTCCACTAGCAAGCTCTAGTAATAGTATTCCAAAACTATAAACATCGCAACTCTCGGATGCCTTACCAAACATAGCATATTCAGGGGCAAGATAGCCCAGAGTACCTTTCACCCTTGTGGTAACATGAGTTGCGCCTTCAGGAATGAGCTTCGCAAATCCAAAATCAGCAACTTTTGCCTGGAAACTGGAATCTAGTAGAACATTGCTTGCTTTGATGTCTCTGTGGATAATATGAGGCACCGCATGGTGGTGAAGATAACTGCAAAACAGGAACAAGGAGAAAATCAGTAAACCTGAAGTTGAAGGGGGAAATTTGAACTTTAAAACTGTCCAAACGCTTACGCAATGCCCTCAGCTGATCCTATAGCAATATTCATTCTTCTGCCCCAGTCCAGAAGGCATTCTGCCGAATGCTGTCCGTGAAGATGGGATAATAAACTTAAATTAGGCATGAAGTGATATACTATTAAGCGCTCTTGTCCTTCGGCGCAATATCCACGCAAGCTAAGAAGGTTTTTGTGTCTCACTCTTCCCAAAATTTCCACCTCAACAGCAAACTCCAATTCAGCCTTGTTACTCCAAACTTTTAACCTCTTAACAGCAATCTGTGTGAAACATAAAGGGAAGCACCAAATTCAATCAATCCGGGGAAAATTCTGCATAAGAACTAAGAAGTGCTAGCATGAGAAGGATAAAGATGAGAAGAGTTAAAAGAAAGATATGCCAGTGCTCCATGCCACTATTGGGGGGAGAGAATTTTAAGCATCAGTTTTGCCAGGGTGAATAAAATGCACAAGCATTCTAAGTAAGACTCATTTGCACGTCTTATGTACAACTGTTTGTGTCATGCAAGAGCATATATTAATATATAAATAAATTATTCCAATATTTCATTGGTGTTGTCAAAATGCCCAAAAAGTTTGAACATTTTGGAAAGAGAAAAAGCCCAAAAGGGTCCTCCGACTATTAAAAAGTGTTCAGTTTGATCTCAGAGCTTTACAATGCCTCAATTTAATCCCCCGACGACTGAAAATTGATCTAATTTAATCCTAGGGCCTAAAACAACCATTAAAGTTTAACACCAAAGTGTTAAATATGAGGGTATTTTAGGATAGTGCAAGAATATGTGAGATTATATTGCTTATGGTGCTCTATTTTAGCATTTAATAAATTATAATAAATATAAAAATCAAAATGAAATTAAATATACTAAATAATAATGGTGAATAGTTATCAAATAATATAATGTTTTAAATAAAAATCTAAATGAAAGGTCTGTTAACTCACAAAATATGCAATGGGTTTTGTTTACCAATTGAACCCAATAAAAACATGAATTGTATTTTGTTGTAAAGCAATGGATTTTGTTTACCAAGCTAAAAGCTAATGAATCAGATTATAAAATAAAAATAATGCAAGTTTGTTAACTCACAAAAAAAAAACTCATTGTCTCCTTGTCGATCTCGCAAAGTCGCTACAATCACGTCATCTCGCATCGTCGCTCACAACAACCCGTCGATCTCGCAGTCTTGTCGTCTCACATAGCTCGTGATCGTCTCCTTTTCAATGTCACAAAACGTCGTCACATGGCATCACACACAATTTTCAATGATTTCGCAGCACAGTTGTCTCGCAATTTCATTCACAATAGTCCGTCAATCTCATAGTCTTGTCATCTCACATAGCAGGTGACCATCTCCTCTTTGATGTTGATGCACGTTGTCATGCAGCACCGCTCGTAGTTTTTGATGATCTTGTAGCAGAGTCATCTCGCAACGTTGCTCAGAGTAGACCATCGATCTCCCAGTCTAGTTGTCTCGCATAGCTCGCGGCATTTCCTCTTCGATGTCGCAATACTTCGTCCTGCACAGCACCGCTTGAAGACTTCAACGATCTTACAACACAATTATTCCTTGTTTCGTATCCATTGGATTAAAGAGGGAAGGTGAAACAAGTACTTTTTCTTTAAAAAAAAAGTCTTGCCGCAGCAAAACGAACCCATGCCCTTTCTTTAGTTACTTTCATGGAATATCAAATGCGGGGACTAAATTGAAGCATTTTATAATAGTCAGGAGACTATAATATCTTTATGAATGTCTGAAATTAAATTGAATATTTATTAATAATCGGGAAGTTTATTTTGAGCATTTACTCATTTCAGAAAATTCCAAATGTCTGAAATTAAATTGAATATTTATTAATAATCAGGGAGACTATTTTGAGCATTTACTCATTTCAGAAAATTCCAACTCAACCTTCTCTTAAAAAACAGTTGTATTGTTGCAGATGAATTCCATGTAAGACCATAATCATCAAAAAAACACAACGGCACCAAGTGACATCATCATAGGAAAACGCTCAGAAGTCTGGTCATAAGTCATTTTCAATGCGTCCTATTTTTTATTCTATTGTTTTAGTACCTTTGAGCAAAAATGCAAAAGCTGGAGCGTTCTGCATCTTCTGCTCTCTTTTTCTACCACTTTCATATGTCTTGTTTTTATCTCATTTTCCTTAATACCGGATGCGGGGAATATGGGGTATTTTAGGATAGTGCAAGAGTATGTGAGATTATATTACTTATGTTTCTCTATTTTATCATTTAATAAATTATAATAAATAAAAAAATTAAATTAAATTAAATCTACTAAATAATAATGGTGAATAATTATCAAATAATATAATTTTTGTAATAAAAATCTAAATGAAAGGTCTGTTAACTCACAAAATATGCAATGGATTTTGTTTACCAAGCTAAAAGCTAATGAATCAAGTTATAAAATAAAAAGAATACAAGTTTGTTAACTCACAAAAAAATACAGTCTCCTTGTCGATCTCGCAAAGTCGCTACAATCATGTCGTCTTGCAACATCGCTCACAACCCGCCGATATGGCAGTCTCGTCGTCTCACACAGCTCGCGACCGTCTCCTTATCAATGTCACAAAACTTCATCACATGGCATCACACGCAATCGTCAATGATCTCGCAGTGTCACTCACAATAGCCTGTCAATCTCGCAGTCTTGTCATCTCGCATAGCTGACAACCATCTCCTCTTCGATGTCGATGCATGTTGTCATGCGGCACCGCCGATCTCACAGCCCCGTCGTCTCGCATAGCTCGCGGTGTTTCTTCTTCGATGTCGCAATACTTCGTCATGCAGCACCGCACCGCTTGAACACTTCGATGATCTTATAACACAATTATTCCTCATTTTGTATCCATTGGATTATAGCGGGAAGGTGAACCAGGTAATTTTTTAAAAAAAAAGTATTTTTGCTGCAATACCCAAGCAAAATGAACCCTTACCCTTTCTTTAGTTGCTTTCATGGAATACCAGATGCGCAGACTAAATTGAAGCATTTTATAATAGTCAGGAGACTATATTATGTCTTATGAAAGTTTGAGATAAAATTGATTATTTATTAATAGTCGGGAAGACTATTTTGAGCATTTACTCATTTCAGAAAATTTCAACTCAACCATCTCTTAAAAAACAGTAGTATTGTTGCAGATGAATTCCATGTAAGATCATAATCATCAAAAAAAAACAACGGCACCAAGTGACATCATCATAGGAAAACGCTCAGAAGTCTGGTCATAAGTCATTTTCAATGGCGTCCTATATTTTATTCTATTGTTTTAGTACCTTTGAGCAAAACAGCAAAAGCTGGAGCGTTCTTCATCTTCTGCTCTCTTTTTCTACCACTTTCATATGTCTTGTTTTTATCTCATTTTCCTTAATACCGGATGCGGGGAGAATCATGCCTTTGAACCATGGAATCGTGTCATAAAAGCATATTTTGAAATTTCTAATGGGAAGGGAACCCTTTCACCTATACTTCTCCAGTAACTAGCCATTTCTGGATTGAGCAACTTAAAAAAAGGAGAAAGTATTAGCAATTAAATTCAAATATTCTATATATCTAAACCTGTCACAAAGGCCTAGCTACTAAAATGTCAATCAACGCTTTGTTCAAATCATCTAGCATGAGTGAAAGCCAGTATTTAGTATGTCAAATCATTGATAAATGTTATAACCCTAGACCACTCGATGTTAATTGTTGAGAAGGATGAATCCAAGAGGATCAAAATGGGGCCGCATACATTAGTGGCCAAGCCCATATTCAAACCCAAAAGTTTAAGCTTATGAGTCAAGATCAATCATATTTTTAACATATTTTTTTAACAATATTATGGGATACCAATCTCATCTCATGTGTCTTAACAATCTACCTCACGTAAGAGTTCTCCACATCAGCTAACAAACTTTCTCAAATAGAAGCTTTTTCAACTATACCGTATATCAAGCAATAAAAAAAAAACCACACAATCATATACAAACACTATGGGAGTTGCTCGCTCTTCATGAGCATGGTTTCGATATCGCTTATAGAGAGGATGAACCAAAGGGGAAAAAATTGGATCTATCATATCAATAGCCAAGCCAGCATTCAACCCAAAAGTTTATACTTATTGATGAATGCCAATCACTTGGTCTTTTTACTCCATATTATTCAACCATCCGATGTGTAATTAAAGCCAAATCTCATGTCTTGATTTTAATTTGCATCATTTTCCAACCTATACAAAGCAAACTTCTACAATAAAACTTGCTAATCACTTGACAATATCAATAAATTATAGCAATGGACAATAATGGAAAACCATTGACTTTTATTGTAAAGTTGATTTGGAAAATGAACTTCATTAAAGAATATAAAGTGAGACATCCTGATAGTAGGACTGTAAAAAAGCTACAAACTCAGAGTTGACTTTGACTATACCCTAACTCACTATAATAGACCAAGTCGATGGAGATATGACTCAAAATGAGAATTAGCATAAAATTTATAATATGTATAATGGAATATATGTTTAATATAAAGTTCAATTTTTTTTATTATATACACTAATGTTTCTCAAAATCAATTTAGATTCATGTCAGGTAGGTCTACTATGAAGGCTATACATTTATTGAGAGGTTTGATGGAGACATATATAGAAAGAATAAGGAGGATCAACATATGATATTTATTAATTTAGATAAAGCATATGTTAAAGTTACAACAAAAGTGCTATGGAGAGTTCTAGAAAAGAAAGGGGTTAATAATGCTTATATTCTAGTCATTAAGGATATGTATATAGCAGTTGTTACTTGTGTTCAAACACAAGGTGGTTTGACCAAGTATTTTTATATTTTTGTTGGATCACATTAAGGATTAGCCTTAAGCCCATATCTGTTTGCTTTAGTCATGGATATTCTCACTAAACATTTGCAAGAGGTTGTACTCTGGTGTATGCTTTTTGCTGATGACATTCTTTTTGTTGATAAGAATAGGGAGGGGAAAGTAAACTTGAATTATGGAGGTCGACCTTAGAGTCTAAAGATTTTCGTTTGAGTAGATCTAAAATCGAATATATGGAGTGTAATTTTAGTAGTAGTAGATCTAGTGGGGGGATTGTGACTTTGGGTAGTCAAGTCATTAATAAGAGTGCACAATTTAGATATATTGGGTCTATTGTTCAGAGTGATGATGAAATAGATGAGGATATTATTAGTAGAATTCAAGTTAAATGGTTGAAGTAGAGGAATGTATCGGGCTTGTTGTGCGATAGAAAAGTTCCCCTCAAACTTAAGGAAAAATTCTATAAGATGATGATGAGACCTACAATGATTTATGGAGAAAATAAGCCATTAAAGGAGAAGCATAATATTAAGTTAAGTGTTGCAAAGACGAGAAAAAAAAAAGTGTTGCAAAGACGAGGATACTCAGGCGAATGAGTGGTTGTGCTCTTAGAGAGCATATTCATGAAAAGATTGGAGTACCTCCAGTGGAAAATAAGATAAGAAAGAGTCACCTTAGATGGTTTGGTCACATAAAACGGCGGCCTTCCAATCACCCAGTTAAGAGAGTATATGTATTAGATTTTGGCTTATGTTAAGAAAAGTAGAGGTAGACCTAAAAATACTTCGTTAGAAATTATTAGAAATGACCTTAGATTTAAATGAGAATTTGACTCTTAACAAGACACAATGGAGAAAAAGGATTCATGTAGCTGACCTCACATAGTGAGATAAAGGCTTGATGTTATTGTTTGTTGTTATATTAATTAGAAATCAAGTTTGAGTCCACTCAAACTCAAATGATCTTTATTTAGTTGAGTCGGAATCAAATTATTTCGAGTTGAGTGGAGTGCAAGTTAAATTCGTAATAAAATTTTGCATTTGAAGTCAAGCCAAAGTTGCTTGAATTTGGATTGGAATTAGTCCCATTCCTTGGTGTACAAACATTTTTTCTACTACTGTCTGCTCATATTAGATTGAGCCCATATGCCAAATACAAAACCTAATGCTAGATTTGGCAACATTACATAAACCCAGCAAATTTAAATGCGAGAGAAAAAAATTTGTATGTTTAGGGAGCTCATGATTGTCACTTTAACATCTCCCTACATATAAGATACCCACTTATTCTTTTCCATGAAAGGGTGTAATAGTGCAAAAAGCCTAAAGGTTTGTGGAGGGATTGATTTGTGTAGTCTTAAACATGAATTGCAAAGAGATTGTTTCCATGAATCTAACCCATGACTTCTAGGTCACAACTAAGACAACTAAATCATAGCCATTGGGCCACCGTCTTATTCCTCTAAACCATTATTGTCAAAGTTTAATGACAAACATGGGATTTTATATATTTTAATAAGATAAAGTTTTTAACATTGTACTTTTATCATAACATTGTTACATGAAGAATCAAATTCCTCCATCCGCTGCCTTGGATCCTCATTTGCATTATTAATGAAAACAGACCAAAGACAATTATTTTAATGTGTTGTTTTATCTGCCATAATCTTTATTGTCAAGTGATTTTCATATAACTGTTACTTTTTGTTCATCGACTTCTTAAGATCATAGATATTCAAATCTCAGTATAATTAAAGAGCTACTCAAGTACCGCACTTCAATTGTATGCCTATTTGTTTCATTTAATTTGTGTAATAATACATCATGAAGTTCAAGAACCATTAATCATGCTAACTAGACAGCCATTAGCAATTAATTTACGTCGTACTACCTTCCATGATGAAAATCAAGATGAATGGTTATCATTTTTCATTTGAACTAGTATCGTCTACAGAAACCAAGGATAAAACTTGTCCAAGGAAATAACTCTACTGCCCAAATATATATATATATATGTGTGTGTGCGCGCGCGCGCGCGCGCACGCGAATGTATATATTCAAGTATGCATATAATATGTACAATTATCATATACACTCGCATGTACCTTCACAGGTACCTAGCAAGTATTTGGCGGATAGCAACAAAGGAACCAACATCTAGTGGGGCCCACAGGTGAACTCACCTAATGATCCATTAGCCAAGGACGCATAAGAGAATTCACCCAAATGATCAACAAGAGCTACTCATCCTGGCCTACTAAAGGAGGTCGGCTTTCATAGAGGGCATTCAAGGCTCCTCAAAAAGCAAACAACTCATCACCGACCACATAAGAAGGCAGTTGCCATGATCACTCACTCCCATAAAGAGCGGGTATCCTCGCTCATGCTCACCAAGATCTACTATAAGAAGGTGCCTACTCACGAGACCCTTAGTTCATCTTATTGCGACCATCTAACCTAGATCTCTCATTTCCCACAATAATAGCTCACTCGACTCTCTCTTCAAAGGTGATTTGAGGCCTTCAACACAATTCATCAGCAACCCCAGCAAGCCCGCCAGTTGCAAGCCCCATATTAGCACTTATTGATGGACGACGCTCGTCTAAACCTACTCGACACTATTGAACTCACCCTAACGACAGATCATTGAAAGTTGTTCAACACCGCCCCTTCAAACTAGTCATAAGGCAACACATATCTAGGACAGTCTATATTAAAAGTCATTAAAATTGTGTGTTCTTTAATCTTTCATGATGTAACGTTTCATGTAACCCTTGGATCTACATAAATAAAGGGTGAAAAAAAAAACATTTTTGAATCTCTTGATTGAGTGAGATTATAAGCCCACTAAGCATTTCTATACAGATTTTCCCCAGTAAACTGCTTTCGCTCCATTCTCACACTAGTTCCAAGTCACCCCTCACAGAGTTCGCCTGCCAATAAAGTCAGCTACCATCCACGAAGAAATTTGGATCCAACATAAAAAAAACACATTTGTGTAATTTAATTATACTCACATTCAATACTTAGTGATGTCTCATCCAAAAAATCACATTAATTCACAAAATGTTGCGTACAACATCTATCACATAATTTCCGAAAATGAAAAATACTTTGATTGATTAAAAGAAAAATATCAAAGGTAGATTTCTGATCGGGATGCAGTCATTCTGCTATCAACAAAATTCTACCACAGAAGTATGTAGAGAGATGCTTCTATACTTTACACAATAACAATTGCTTAACAGATTATCCCTTTAAATGATACTTTGAAAAAAAAAAAAAGTTTCCACCAGCAAAGAAAACAAATACTTTTCTTATATCAATTCATTTCTTAATCATCTAGCCATCCACAACCCCAAACACACGCCAAATGTTCGCCTAAAGTCCTTAAATAATTTATTGTTTCCAAATCAACATAAATAAAAAAATTGGCAGTAACATATTGGTTTTAGTAGCCCAAGAAACAACAATGGCATAATGCACAACTGTTAATTTAATGGGGAATATAGGTAAGTAATCTTTCACTACTTTAACAGGAAATATTGGTAAATTATCTTTCACCGATTGAAAGACACGCTAAACCAAACACACAACTGCAAAAAATTAAGATTTATAAGATTTATAAAGATTATGACCATAGTAGTGTTCCTTAATGCATTTATAAAAGAGATCCATAGCACGGAGGCTAACCACCACAAAACAAACCCAAATACCCAACCCCATAGTTCTATCAAACTAATCTAAATGGTTATAGACAGCTAGAAAGTGGATGCCAAGTTTGGGGTAATTTTGCAGAATTTAAAAGAGGCTTTCCCAGAATCAATGACTATTTCTGTCTTTAATCCATGGCTAACTAAAAAAAATACAGCTCCATCATTGCAATAATTAAAAAATCACGTAGAAGAGTCTCATTCACTCCTGCACCTCATCAATGCCTTAACATTACATTCTTTTCACAGTTTAATATCCTTATTATTATTTTTTTAATATATGGGATATTTTGCATAAGCAAACCCAAACCACCGCGGATCAGCATCATAAAAGAAAGAGAGAACTGCCAAAATAGTCTTTCATAACAAATAAACTTGTTGACAGGATGACAATCTCATAATTGTTCTAAAGGGAGCCATTCCTTCGATAATTCAACCTATAAGATAATGAGGATATTACCTTTGTAATTACTGCACAGAGGAAGCGATGTATATTAATCAATCAAACCATCAAAATTCATATTTGACCTACAGCATAACTAAACCAAACCTTTCCCTTCCTTATGGTCGCTTTCATAAAGCAAAAAGAAAGAAAACCAAATCAAATACTCAAATGTAAAAACTCATTTTAAAAGAAGTTTAGATCAAAACATAATACGAAATTCCCAGAGGAAATTCAGAGATAGCCAAATACCTGAGATCCATCCCATAGTTGACCCCAATAAACGCTCCCAAATCCCCCTTCACCTAGCTTGTTGTCGTAATTGAAGTTGTTCGTGGCCGCGTGCAGCTCCTTGAGGGAAAAAACCCTCCAAGTGCTCGACTTCCTCCCCTCTCTCCTGCGACAACAGCCCTCGCTCTCATCACCATTCCAATCACCAATAATAAACACAGTAAAAGAAAGCAAAAGAAGAAAGAAAAAGAAGGCACCCCAAAACCCACCGGTCGGAGGATTTTCTGCAGCAGAGGAAAGAGAAGAAAGACATCTGCCCCTAGCTCGAGTACTTCAACCTAGCTGGGGAAAGCAAAACGGCGAACAGCTCAGTTCCCTTCAACCATGAAGGCGAGCTAGTCACAGAGAGAGAAAGAGAGCAGATCCGACAACAGAGTGGGGGGAAAAAGGCAGAACAGAATAACCCAAAGTCGGAAAAATGGACTTCGCAATATATAAGAACCCGCGTATTTCGGTGACGGCGCCCGAGCGTGGTGCGGTGTGCCGCAGGTATATTAACCTGGTCCAAAAATGTATTTTATAATTCAGTGTAAAATAGATGTAAATGAATTTAATTGAATGTAGCATTAATTCGGATGATATATTTTATTTTGTTGAATGTATTTTGAATATATTTTGATAAATAGACTGATTATTTGGGATGTTGAGAGATATTATATCAAGAAGAAAATATATATATAAAAAAAAAAATAAGAAATATTTGGAATGTTAACAACTCATAACTTTGTTAAAGAGTGTCAAATTGTATATCATAAGTATATTCATTTATGTCAAAATGTCAATGGAGATTGTTCAAAGCAAAATATCAGAGGGGGTCTTCACTATGTCAACAAAGCATCCTCTAATATCATAATCATCTAAGATTCTCTATTTTGGGTCTTCCTGCAAACATAATAATTGTTCATCTCATAACAATTGAGGGATGTTTAAAATGACTCGTGATTGGATAGAATGGTGAAATGATTAAGTGCGGTCATCAGACGTTGTCCATAGGTGAATTATGATGCGTCATATCACCATTTTATTGTATATCAGTGTTGTGTACCGTTGTGTGCCAGGTAATGCAAATAATATTTAAATATGTTCCGATTTTATTTTTGTTTTTTGTTCCAAAATGATTTACCCTTAATTTTAGACCACAACTATGATTCTCTCTTTTTTTTTATTATTATTATTGAAAAGAATAAGAGAAGTAAAAAAAAAAAAAAAGAGAAGTCAAAATGCCACTTTGAAACTATTTTTTATTTTGAAAGTATTAAATCATTGAATAACACAAAACCCATATAAAATAAATTTAAGCAAATTAAATTAAATAGAATGTCAAAATAATGTCTTATCTAAAACACGGTGAACATGAAAACATTAACAATTTTAATATTCATTAATTCAAAATAGTTTTATCAACCATTATTAAAAAGAAATTTTTCATTCAAGGTTATATTTTGATATTCATCCCATTTAGACAAAAGAAATGTAACCAACATGCAAGAGATTAAGGCTTCGTTTGGGACGGTTTTCTTCATGCTTCTTAAAACAGTTTTTTTAGTACAAAATTTTTAATTTTTGTACTAAAAAGCTGTTTTAAGAAGCAGTAAAAAAAACCGTCACAAACGAAGTCTAAGGCTTGGTTTGGAACGGCTTTTTTTTGTTTCTTAAAGCAGATTTTTAATGAAAAAAAATTTAATTTTTATACTTGAAAGTTGCTTCAAGAAGTAGTAAGAAAGTCGTGCCAAGCAAAACCTAAGGCTTGTTTGGGATGACTTTCTTATTGCTTATTAAAACAGCTTTTTAATACAAAAATTACTTTAAGAAGCATTAAAAAAGCTGTCCCAAATAGAGTCTAAGATTTCATTTGCCAGTTGTGACTGCTTTCTTACTGTTTTTTAAGATAATTTTTTAAAAATTTTCATATCAAGAATTTATTTTAAAAAAAAAACTATAAAAAATAAAACTTTAAAATCTCACCACTTAACGTTGGAAATATTGTACTCAAACGTGGTGGGAAAGCTCTCAATTTTCAAGAAGGAAAGTCAAAATAAAACAGAAAAAATTATGTCTCAACAACTAATGATAGAGCTATCTAAAGCTTAGTTTTCATTATAAATACAATTATGACTCAACACGGCAAAATTATTAGCTCAATTTAGTTTTAATGCCTCTCCGCGTCGAACTTTTATTTGGTCCGGTCACAGGACGTAGCTCTACGTTCGGTCATCAGTAGAATCGCACCACACGTTCTCACTATTTATCGCGTGCCCCGACAACCCGACTAGGAACGGACCCAGGATGGCTCGGTATTTCTCTATTTTGCTTGGTATTGGTCGATTTTGCTCGGCAATAACCAATACCGAGCAATTACCGAGCAACTCGGTATTGGTCTTCACAGAGCGGTATTTCTCGTTATTGTCAAGCAATACCGAGCAATACCGAGCAAATACCGAGTAATACCTCGTGCAATACACGAACATAGCATTCCCGGGTTCCGGTCCGGGTCAAGTCGTCGGGCCGCACGGTAAAGAGTAAAAGCACGTGGCGACATGTTATTGGCGGCCGAACATAGCTCTACGTCCGATTAGAGGACGTAATAATTGTTCATCCACATCAGGTAAGATCTTCTTCCACCTACTTTATACTTACTAAAAAGTTGTAGTTGTTAACAAAATATAAAACTAAATATAAGAGACACTATGAAGAATTTCTTTAGAAAATTTTATTCATTTAGATGGAAGCAACTTCAGATAAGATAACGTTGAAAGAAAAAAATCTCTCTTAAATTGGCAGTAATTGAGTCAAGTTGAGTGAGTATATATTATTTAAATTATTAATTTTTTCAGCTTAATGTATATTGAATTTTACAATTTTGTTTAAATTTATTTATTTATTTTTCAATTTTAAGTGATAATCAATCTAATTTAGGCTTTGTTTGAAATGGCTTTATTAATATTTTTTAAAACAATTTTTTAGTACAAAAAATTATAGTTCAACAAATTTTTGAGCTAAAAATTTTCTTTAGAAAACAATAAGAAAGTCATCCTTGGGACAGCTTTCATACTGTTTCTTAAAACATCTTCGGGTTTGAGTTAACCCATTTAATAAAATGGTCAAGTTCGAGTTAAGTTTTTTACTCATCAAACATATCAAGTTCAAATTGACCCGCAAACCCATTTTTTACCCAAAATAATTTGTTTGATATATTTTTCCTAATTTTTTGTGTGGTTATAATGTTTTAAATTTTTATTATATATTTTTAAATTTATAGTTAATAAGTCAAAAAATAATAATCAAAATGAGTCAAATTCTTTTTTTTTTAACAACATATTTTATTTCATAAGAAAATGGACATACAACCAAAAGACCAAAAAGCCAAAGAAATAAAAATACAAAGCTAAAAATATCACATTAATCAACAAAATGCAAAGTAAACTAGAAAGGATAAATAATCCAAAGTGTCGGACTCAGAATCACCACCTGGTTGCGAAGCTTGGACCATCCATTGGAGGAAGAATAACCATCTGACCCAAATATGATAACCACCAAGGAACACACAGAAGAAGGAACCACTAGCAGCGCCAAAACAAGCCATGGTCTTCTAGGGGGGCGAGCACGAAGCCTACCTCATCATAGTCCAAAAATAAAAGCCAACACCTCACGGTCTTGCCATCAATCCACAAGGCACCCAACAAAACCAATCGGCCAACCTTGAGTCTGAAAGGACCACCATCCATAACACTCCAAAGAAATAAGCCAAAACCAACCAAGCAAACACCAGTAGCAGAAGTAGGGTCAAATCCGAAAAAGAAAAATTATTATTTTTTTTCAATTTACAAACTCTATGCTTACTACACTTTTTTAAAAAATCAGCATCAACAATTTGATAAATAATTAAATCAAAGTTATCCCGAGAATCCGAAATATTCTCATTAATTTCCTCACAAGCAACTGAAGAATTGTCATCATGTAATCAGTCACCCTGCATCACCTTATTTTTCCTTGATTTACAAGCTAGATGAGCTAACAAAGCATCATTAAAAATAACGAATATAGACACATCAAAAAGTGGCACACCAATATGTTTAGAGACATGATCAACACCCTCGATAAAAGAAGCACTAAAAGGAGCATAAGTGCCCAAAAAATTAGCATCCACACAATTATTAACAGGCAAAATCCTACTCGTATATGGCTAACAATCTCAGTCACCAGGGTCCAAAGGGACAAAATCATTAAAAATCGCAGCTTCACCATCACCGACATCAATATTAGAATAAGGAGAGACAATAAGACTAGCTATCAAATTAACTAAACAATTGTTAGGATCTTAAGCCTCAACAGCCCTCTCATTAATTCCATAAGAAGGAGCCATCAACAAAATCCTAGACAACGGATGATCAATTCCATTAACAATTAGCTCAGGAGAACGCCCAACATCATAGGCCGAAACAGTTGGAGGGAAAACCACAAAATTAGTCACCTGAATGGGAATCCCAACATCACCAGCCGCAAGCACAGAAACAAGCCCAACATCACTAACTGCCAAGGGAAAATACCAACATCACCAGCAACACTAACTTCCACATTCTTGAGCAAAACACCATCACCACCATGAAAATTTTCTTGAAAACCAACAAAGGGTTTAACACCCACATTAATTGAAGAAGGGTTAACATTGTGAGAACTATCGAGATGGGGATGTAATAAACAACATTCCACTTTCAAGTGACCTAACGAAATGCATTGAGTACAATGAGAAGGAAAACAAGACGAGTTTGGGGGTTGAATGGATCCTAAACATGTCAGATTCATGATATTCAAGTCGCTAGCTAATCATGTTCAGGTTAATCTTTTTTACCCATTTATTAAACGATATTGAGTTTGGGTTGAATGGATTCTAGTCGGATCATTTTTGGGTCAAACTCGAACTGGACCCATCAACTAATTTTTGACACCCCTAATTTCAAACAACTTTATTACTGTTTTGCTTTTCAAATCTAACTACAATTATTTATTTTCTCATCTGCTTTCAAGAAATTTATATATTAAAATGTTATTTTTAAGACAGCTTACAAAAAATTATTTTTTCATTATAATTTTAAAATCATTTTAAAGAAAAGTTATAGACATCCCAAACTGATTCTTAATCGACAATATTAATAACAGTGGATTAAAAATAAATTTCGGGGTGAAAAAGCCAGAGCTCAACTGCTCAAAGGCTAAAAATAAACAAATAGTAAAAAAAAAAAAAAAAAAAAAAAAAGAAAAAAAAAAAAAAAGAAAAAAAAAAAAAAAAAAAAGAATAGCTGGTGTGCCACATCCCATCACGAGCCTCTTATAATATTCTCCCAATTCTTTTCAACTTAGACAAAACATGTAAAATATATGATTAAAAATGCTCGCAATTTAGGGTTT